GCTTGGTACATTTTTAGTAGGTGTTGGGCTAGCTCCTTTGCATACATTTTATAGTAGGCATTTGTTAGTCCATCTGCTCCTGGCGACTTTCCCACTGGCAACCCCGCTGTGACATCTAACGCCTCGGTAAATTAATCGGTTTGAGCAGCACTTCTGTCTGTGTCTGGGTGATCTGGGGGAGATTAGCTTTTGTCAGGTATTGATCAGTTTTTTCCTCACTGGCATTATGGGTATCCCCTGAGGTTTTCAGGTTATACAATTTGGAGTAAAATTCAGCGAATTCTTGGCTAATGTCGGAGGGGGTAACTTTCTTAATGCCGTCTTCTCCTATAATATGGCCAATTTTAGAGCTGGAGTATCTGTTGTGGAGTCTAGAGGCCAGGTATTTTGTGGCTTTATTCTGTTTATTATGTGTTTATTCTGCTATGATAAACATTAGCTCGCAGCTTGTGGAGCAGGGTTTTGGTGTTCTGTTAAGCGTGCATGTAGTGCGTTTAGTTTTGTTGCTAATTCTGGGGAGGGTTGTCGTTTATTCTGCTTAGTGGTTATGGCTATTTGCTTATGGCAGTCTAGAAGGTTTGTTTGGTGTTGTTTTTTCAGAAAGACGGTGCATCTGATGAATAAACTCCGCACTACTGCTTTATGCGCTGACCAGACTGTGAGGTCTGAGACTTCGTCACCCACATTTATTGTAAAGTATTCCTGTAATGCCACCAGGACCTCGTTCCCAAAGGGAGTGTCCAATATCAGGGAGTCATTCAGACGCCAGGAGCCCCGGCCTCGAAATTGGGATGTGTCAAGGAGGTCTAGGTAGAGCGGGCCGTGGTCTGACCATTTTATGTCCCCTATGGTACACCGAGATAATTGGGCTAGGAGTGTTCTATCTAGGAAGAATGTATGTATGCATGTGTATGTGCTGTGCACTCTTGAATAAAATAAATAATTTCTATCCATCGGGTGCAACGATCTCCAGGCATCGTACAGGTCGTTTTGGTCTATCAGTTTAGTAAATGACTTACTCAAGGCTTCAGACCTCTGTTTGTTATTGCCTGTGAGAGCAGCGGTTGTGTTGAGGATGGGTGATTAGATGCAATTAAATTCTTTGCACAGTATCACATTACCTTGTCAAAGTTTTTTAAATTTTACGAAGGAGTGATTGCAGGTAGTTTCTGGGGTTCTCATTTGGGATGTAGGCTGCCACTAGCGTTAGTTGTGTGCAGTTAAACAGGCTCACTAATGATATATGATATACCTTCCACTTTGGTCTATACATTGTCGTTGGAGCGTATAGGCTACATCTCTGTGAATCCGTATTGAGACACCTTTGGATTTGGTACTAGCTAGTGAGTGATACTGGGTGGGGTATTTTTTTGTTGAATATGGCCGGGGTGTGATCGTTTCTAAAACGCGTTTCCTGGATACAGGCTATACCTTTCCCTTGTGTGGTCAAGTCCGGGAGAAGCAGTCTGCATTTACCTGGGGTATTTAAACCCTTAACATTATGAGAAACAAGTTTCATGTTATGGTAACCATGGATAACATTCGCTTATGATATAGCCCCTAAATGGGAACTCCCTGCTTTTTAGTCAGCACTTGGTATAGTTTGATCCATGTTAGGAGGATTAACTTAGAGTAATTAGCAAGGCCAGTGAAATGTATGTTATGCACTTTATGAGACTGGGTGTCGGAGGGGTAGGGTAACACACAAAGGGGGTAAACTGGAGGGGCATAACAAACTCATGGGCAACATGCCCTGTACGGCTCCACATCTGTGAGCCAACGTGCGCCGAGATGGACTCGGTCGCAGAAGGTGGGGGTCGTGGGGGTGAGCCTCACCATAAGAGTGGTGAAGTAGTGCGGAGCTATGAACCTTATCTAAGGTTTAGTGGTAGCAGAGAGCTCAAAACTTTCTGCAGTGGCATACAGGGTACACTGAGCATATATATTGCAGTATTTACAGCAACCAATGCCAGCAGCTGAGCGGTAGTTCCATTATATAGGTACAGGGGCAGGGCAACAAGCGTCACCCCTGCATAGTAGTTATGGTAGGCTGCAGCTTTTACATGAACAAAGGGTTAACAGTAACAATATGAACAAAATTATATCTCAACTGCGGTGAGTTTTAGCGTAGAGTGGGTGGCTATTATACGGTACCTGTGGTCATTGCAAGCAGGCCCGGACTGGCCATCGGGCATACCGGGCAAATGCCCGGTGGGCCGCGATGGCCGTGGGGCCGAGGCCGGCAGGGGAGATCACAGGATCTCCCCGGCCGGCTCCTGCAGGGCCAGCGCTATCCAAGCGCCGGCCCTGCATAGTGCCTCCCTGGGCCGGTGGGGAGATCAAAGATCTCCCTTTACCGGCCCAGAGACACTTCCAGGCGGCCGCTTGCTGGGGTGTGAGGGAGGGAGGAGAGGACCGGCGGAGCTCCATCCAGCAGCTCCGCCGGGTCCTCTCGCGGGATTCTGAGCGTTGCCGCGGTTACCGCGGCAACGCTCAGATCTCGCGAGAGTGAACTCTAGCCTACAGGCTAGAGTTCACGCTCACCACTAGGACCACCAGGGATCAGGCAGCATGGCTCTCCCACGGCAGAACGGCTCCCCCCGTCACAGGCAAAACGGTTCCCCCCCTCCCAGGCTAAAGGTAAGAAGGGAGGGGGGGATATAACTTTTTTTTAAAATTATTATTATTAATTAAAAAAATAAAAATTTAAATTAAAAAAATCACACTCACACACACACACACACACACACATCACCCCCAGACACACAGCACCCCCAGACACACACAGCACCCCCAGACACACAGCACCCCCAGACACACACAGCACCCCCAGACACACACAGCACCCCCAGACACACAGCATCCCCAGACACACACAGCACCCCCAGACACACACAGCACCCCAGACACACACAGCACCCCAGACACACAGCACCCAGACACACACAGCACCCTCCAGAAACACACAGCACACACAGCACCCCCAGACACACACAGCACCCCTGAGAACGCACAGCACCCCCAGACACACTCCACACAGCACCCACACACACACACACACAGCACCCCAGACACACACAGCACCCCCAGAAACACACAGCACCCCCACACAGCAGACACACACAGCACCCAGACACACACAGCAAACACACACAGCGCACCCAGACACACACAGCGCACTCAGGCACACAGCACCCTCACTCACACACAGCACCCTCAGACAGACAGCACCCTCGCTCACACACACACATATATATATATGTGTGTGTATGTATGTGTATGTATATATATATATATTTACAGATATATATATATAACATATAAAATAACCCTCAGTAAGTTAACAGACAAAGAAAATTAGAATGTGACGGCAGATAAAAACACCCTCACACACAGCACCCCTCTTACATACACACACACTGCGCCCCTCACACATACAATACGTCCAAATATATATATGTATGTATATATATATATATATACACACACACACACACACTACAGCACTACATACATTACACTCCAGATACACGCTAGATCCCTTACCTTATATGCACTCTTAATCCTCTATACACACACACACACACACAATCTCCTATACACACTCTGGGTCCTTTACACACTAGATCTCCTACACACACACTGCACCACCTACACACACACTACATTCCTTGTCAGCAAACACATACAACATTCTCTAAACACACCCTCTCTACAACCCCTACACACACACACTACAGCCCGTATGCACACACTCGCTACATCCCCTATAACACTATGCCCCCTATACACACACTCTCTACAGCCCCTAGCCACACATATTACACCACAAACACAAATGAAATTGACCTATTTACACAATACCACACCACACTCTACACACAGGCAATCCCACAAGCAGGCTCCAAACACATGCACCATACACTTTCCTGGCCCTTTTGTCCTCTGGTATCCCACTTGTTGAGACACCAGAGACAATTTAAAAGCAAACACAGCGCAAGCATGTTATTAGATTTGCTTGCGCTGCGCAGAACAAATACAAGGCCTTTTTCTAATGCCAGAGCTCTTCAGCGCAGCTCTGCGCATTGAACCAACATGCTCACTTTGAGAGGAGGCGTGCTTGTCATTAGTGATGACAAAACACACCCTCTCTCTGGCCCCGCCCCCTTCTTAGGGGGCCGCTCTGATTGAAAAATGCCCGGGCCTAATTTTTTTCCCAGTCCGGCCCTGATTGCAAGGTCCATTTTACTGCATAGAAAAGGATACTTAGGGGACTTCCAACCATGCAGAGTTGGTCATCTCCGCTTTCAGGTTAGATTCCATTCCGGAGACATTCTGGGAACTTTAGGTTGCTTTTGGGTTAGGTTTGTTTTAATATACACACGTGTGTTTATTTTGTAGTGATTTTTTGTGTGGTATATAAGTATGTTAGGTTCACTTGTTATATCATATGCACCTGAGAAAGACCTATTGAGAAGGTCGAAACACATTGTGCCTGTTTTTTATTACTTTTTGCCCTAATAAAAGTTTTAAACTTACACCTGGTTCCTGAATCGCTATCCAGAGGAATGTCGTTACCTTCTGGGTGACCTGACAACACACATATGCAAACAGGCAACGTACATATGACATACTACATGCACACATGCTTCCATGGGGTCCACTGGGGATCAGACTGCAAACCATATAATCTACGCCTATGCTGCACAAATGTCTCCATGCAGTGACAGAAAGTGTTCTTACATTACACTGCTGAGCAGAGGTAGTATGGGAGCTTTCAATGCAGCCCTGCTATAGGCAGTGGTGTATCCTGGTTTTGTGCTGCCCTAGGCAGGACAAAACTCAGGCGCCCCCCTCCCCCCCGCGCCACCCCCACCCAACCCTTCCCCCCGCCCCACCTTCTAAATACACACACACACACAGTCAGACACATACACAAACACACACACACACACAGTCAGACACATACACAAACACACACACACACAGTCAGACACATACACAGACACAGTCAGACACAAACACACACACACACACAGTCAGACACAAACACACACACACAGTCAGACACACACAGTCAGACACAAACACACAGACACACACAGTCACATACACACACACAGTCAGACACAAACACACACACACACACAGTCAGACACATACACAGACACAAACACAGTCAGACACAAACACACACACACACAGTCAGACACATACACAGACACAAACACAGTCAGACACAAACACACACATACACAGTCAGACACATACACAGACACAAACACACACTCACAAACACACACAGTCAGACACAAACACACACACAGTCAGACACAAACACACACACACATTAACTTTTTTTTAATTTAAATCCCCCCCCCAACCTCCTTACCTTTTGGAGTGCTGGGAGGGGGTCTCTCTCCCTGGTGGTCCAGTGGCTGCAGGGCGTGCGGCGCTGGCAGGTGGGCGGCCGGCGAGGGAGCACTTCCCATGGCCTGACTGCTCAGCTCCCTCGCGCGTCGGCTGCAGAGTGAGGCTGGGAACCGGAAGATGACGTCATCTTCCGGCTCCCAGCCTCACTTTGCGGTGCGCGAGGGAGCTGAGCAGTCAGCTCATGGGAAGTGCTCCCTCGCCGGCCGCCCGCCTGCCAGTGCCGCCCGCCCGCTCGGGATGTCAGTTAGCCGCAAGGCTAACAAGGCATCTGCCCTGGGCATTTGGGGGGCGGCGTTTTTTGCCGCCCCCTGAAAAATGCCGCCCAAGGCAAATGCCTTGTTTGCCTCGCGGCTAATACGTCCCTGGCTATAGGGCTTTGACTGTCAGAATTCCACATTGTGATCTGTTAAGTCTCACCTACAAGTTATATTGCATTAAAAGGCCCATGCCTGCCCCCCGTGGTTGTCTGAGCCTCGTGCATTCACCTTTTAGTAATAATAATAATAAATGATTGTTTACTATTAAAAAAAAAGGGAAATAGGTTTTGGGGCCCACCTTTGCAGATTTTGCTTTAAGGTATACTATGGCTCTGGTATTATCTGTGGAAAAAAAGGCAGCAGTTTTATTATAAACAATATCTGTATCCAAGTATTTATAGTACAACACAGTACCAGTAGATGGCATATGTATGCTTTACACAGAGTAAAAATATTTATATAGACACCTTGCTTAACCATGCTGTCATACCCTGCAGAACACAGTGATCTCCCCTGTGAAGTATTACCTCTTTCAGTGTAATGAAGCATGAAGATCTCGTATGGTAGAATTTCTCTTGAGATCAATAATGCTGTTATATTACATGATTTGTTTTCTCCAATATATCACAAACACACTTTATTCTATGTAGCTGACAAACAGACTTAGGAACAAGCCTATTGATGAAGTCATGCATTGGGCCTTAAAGTACTGTATATCGAAAATACACTGTTTGCTTTTATGAGAATGGAGTACTTTAGAAACAAGATACAGCATTTCAAAACCCTGACAGCTCATTATCCAGGGCCTGCGTGTGACATCCTGTGACAGATTATTATATATGTTACAGTAGTGAGGAAGCAAGATATGTGTCTAAGCAATTTTAACAATGTAAAACATGAAAATACTGAAAACAAAACATATGCCAGTCACTTATTAGGAAAAGTCTCTGGCAGCTAAGAATTACACCACAGAGGACACACTCAGGGTTACTTGGAGAAGTGGGAATTCAAATAGAATGTAATATTTTAGACCAAAGCAGCCGAACTTGAAGTATAGTTGACTAAGAGACTTTTTCCAAATGCAATTTTGGTCTGAAATTTTAAATTCACTTTCAATTCAGTATTCACTGTTAATTCTCACTTTACTAATAACACTGACAGTGTCAGAACTAATCTAGAAAAGGCCGGGTAAAATAATTTTCTTTGGGCTCCCTTCTGATGTAATGGTTGCCAAAAGTTAGAACCTCACCTGTCCTAAAACTCTCACGATGCTTTGCCAGCTGAGCATCATCATTTGTCCATATTTGCATGCAGGGACATTGCTAGGAGGACAGACACTGGTGGGACAAACTAATTTGGTGGCTCCTTCCTAAAGCCCCACCTCTGCCCCTCCCCAATTCCACTACTTAATACACCTCTTGGCACACTCATAGTTACGTACAGATATACACTCAAAGACAGGCAGGCACAGAACACATGGGTACACAGACATAGACAGACATACATATTTATAATAAAAAGGATGTCTCTGTACCTTTCCAGTGGTACCTTGTCTCTGTTTCAGCAAGGCCGATGACAACAAGCCTACTGTAGAGAGAACACTCAGTCAGTGTGTTGCCAGCCTTGCGCTTTGTGGTCTCCCTGTCTTCTCTTCTGCCAGGCTGCTCTTCTCTCCCTGGCTGCACCCTGTCTCCTCAGTGACGCTCAGCTGGGAGCAGAACAAGTGCAGTGATAGAGACACACTCAGGAAATATGAAAATCTATTATATTCCCTGTGTGTCTCTACCACAGCATTGCTTCTGCTCCCTGCTGACTCCTAGACTCACCGATAGGGCCCTTCTATTGGGCCCCACATTGAGGCTCTAGCCTATTCTTCCCGCCAGCTATCAATGCCCATGTTTGCATGGTTGTATTTGCGAGCAATGTCTATGTGTTTTAATGTAAGCATGTTTTTGTATGGAGTTTAGTTTTGCATGTGAATAGATGTATTTGTGTGTAGTGTTGACATTTGAATGTAGTTGTGTGTTTGTAAATAAGTGGAAAAAATAAAATAGCGCACCAGTAAAGGCCCTAAGGAGAGAGTAAAAATGAAAAGGAGAGGATGCCCTACCTGTAATACTTCTAAGCATAAAAGAATAGTGGGTACAAAATTACTGTAGAGGGAGAATTACAATTATACAGCTGGTAAGGTATATATTTTGCTTAAAATGTTCTGCAACATCATGAAAAGATTGTTAACCAGATTGCTAGTGTAAATGAACCAGATACCTGCAAAACATATTTTTTAGACTAACAAATGTATAAATACTTGTATAGTTGGAGGGCATTTAGAATCACCTGTCCACACTCTGCAAACTTACAGGCAACATGGATGCTTTTTGTGTATGCATGTATGCAGGAATATTTATAATCTGTGCTCACAGGCATTGAACATGGACAGATTACAATTCACATCAGTTTAGGTGCATGAACACAGAGGATATCACTATAACCAACAATGGAGGAAACTATACATTTGATAAACATCTGGCTAGTATCATTTTGGCTAGTGCAATGTATCGGCAGAAACACACATCATTATAAAGGGACTTATTTTCCATGAAGTCTTTTAAGTTGTTTTATTAGTCAAGTTTAAGTATCATGACAAGGCTATTCACGGATAGAAATCTGGTTTAACATACGTATACAAATTCTCCTTCAGACTGTTGTTGTGAATAATTTAATTCATAATGAATATAATGAGAATTGAAAGAAATACATATAATTCAAATAATGCTTTATTGCAATAATTAGAAAAGAAAAACAACACTTTTTCTGTCTTCTTCTAAAGGATTTTTGGTAGTCTGGAACTGGAGATCAGTAGGCTTATGCTGGTGTGACCTTATTTCCACCCCCTTCAGACACTGAAGTGACATCTGTACGACCACTTACTGTACTTGACTCATCATCTCCAAACGGGTTGCGTCCACAACACAAAATGCTCATTAAACAATTGCGGAACTACAAAGAAAGAGAGACCCTATAGGTTATTATGTGGAGGTTATTCTGAGTTTGAATAAAAGCAAACTCATCAATAAAACGAATGCTAGGTTTCTTACAAAATTGAAGTTCACGGTAAAGTCATCTGCATTGCTAAATAAGGTCTGGCATTGTGTTGAGACGTAGTATTTTTACAATCCCTGGGGTCTACCTGTTGGTAACCCAGATTTATAGAAAAAACAGGTTTTTGAATTTGTAAGTAAAAGAGGCATTTTAGACACTATAATCATGTAATCTCATTAAATTGGTTATAGTGCCTAGAATCCCCTGGCACTGTCCCTCCATTCAGTACTAAATTATTTTTTGAACAGGTTACCACTGAATAAGGGTCCCTGGCCACCAAATCCTAGTCCCCATTGGAAGTATGGCTTAGGTAGAGATTACAGACTTTCTTCAAACCATACCAATTCATATTAGCTATGGGTGCTGTGATAGGCTGAAACCAATCATCTGTCAGTCTCAGGCAATCCCAGCTGACCAATGCTGTTTAGGCAAGCGTGTCCTCATTATCTTGAGCAGCACAGAGAGGATTGGATTCTGGGGACTCTCGTTTAGCATTAAAATATTAAAGATCATTTAACACTGCATGGAAGGATGACATCAGTGTACTTTATGTACTATAACCACTTAAATGAGATGAAGCACTAAATGTGCCTACAGTGTACTTTAACAAGTATTGGTTAAGGTTTGCATTAAGGCACATGCTTAATATTAGTGATATAGTTTTTACAACCTACAATGTGGCAAGCAGTCAGATCCTCAGTTCATACAGACCTGCTTATTCATGAAGACGTAGATAACTGGATTGTACACAGTGGCAGTTTTTGAGAAGTATGAAGGCATTGAGGCTAAGGTGGGTTCAATTACAATGTCCTTATTGGATGCTACCACCACGGCAAAGGCAGCATAGGGACACCAGCAGATAAGGAATGCTAGCACCATGGCAATAACCATCCTGGTTACTTCTCGCTCAGCCCGCTGAGTTGTTTCTGAATCTTTCTGCTGTGCTGCTACCTATAGAAATATTTAAATATAAAGTATATTGATTACATTAATATCTTTCTATCACATAAGAATCTCAGGACAATTAAATTATTGAAATGGACCATGTCCATGTGAAAACAATTAAAATATTTGGAGCTAAAACTGAACAAAACTGTTGAACTCCCAAATGGCCTGCTGACCGGTATAAAGTTTGTACAAATACAGCAACTTAGAGATTCATATCAATATCAAAGGAGGTTATTATGTGCAAGGAATGCATTATTAATTAGGAGAAAATCTGATTAATAATAAAAATCTCCTACTAAGCCAGTTGATATTTCAAGTTTTAGTTTGCATCAAGTTTCAAACTTCATTCTCATGACAATAAAATATTAAATCAACTCTTCAAATGAGAAATAAAGAGGGGGAAGGTGGGTATAGCATCTTGTCAAGGACAATTTTAATAAGAATTATGAAGAATTATAAATTCAATACCAATAGGAGATGCATATCTAGCTAAGGAAATGCAGTAATGAAGAACTGTTTTCTTAATTGCAATTGCTAGCAGAGTCAGTGACTAATTAACAATATTTCAGAAAGAACTCCTTTGGAGGTAAAATTTGCTCTTATTTCTCAGTGGCTTTAATTACAGATATTATGTTTGGTCTTAACACTATATTAACATTTCATATCTATCCATGTTAATACTTTGAGACCAGGAGCTGCATTAGCTGATTAGTGCTTAGTCACAAACAAGCAAAATGATCCACACAATATCAGCATAATAACAGAACATAAGTGAATCTGAACTCCTTCATAAGAACGGACACATAGTAGATTACACAGTTTTGAAATAATAAGATAAAATAAAATAAATCTATATAACAATGAATGTGGAGGAGAAAACACATTTAATTAAGTAACAAAATAGATGGTAACCTACATAGTTTAGCCATTATAACACAATGAAATTACAAGCAACAAAAAATGTTTATTATATGAGCGTAAAACTTCCTCTCTGACTACAGCCATGTCAGCCTGGAACATAGCTTTTATATCTATCAGCAGGGCTTTAATATATGACTTAGTTAAATGAGCTTATCCCCTTGGGCTGGAAAAAGAAGATGTTCCTACGCATGGTAGTGGTAAAGCCACAGGATTATCATTCATGCCATAGTCATCAGAATAATAAATCTCTCCAGGTGCCATCTTTGTCTGGGTATGAAGAAATTTAGGTCCAGACACAATGGATATTGCAAAAGGCAGATTTATAGGAACAAAGGAGCAACATTTTGGCCTAAACAGAGGCCTTTGTCAAGCTTTGTTTTGGATAGGCTGTGGAGTCTGGCAGAGCAGTGCACCTATGTTGCAGGAACCCAGATCAACCAGTTTTGTTTTTTTTACTTCCATCCTATCGTCTGTTTACAATTTCTACCCCAATTGAAGGTTATAGCCAATTGGGATGTCAGTCAGAATCTCTCTCTCGTTCTCACTGGCACTGGTTCTGTCCCCTTGATAAGTGTGATATTGAGTTAAAATGCTATCTACTGATACTGCTCCTCCATATGTAAACAGTGATCAGCTGTGAAGTAGGTGAACACTAAACATCTAATATAAACTGCCATTTGAGCTCTTATCCAAATATTTCTATGAATGTACTGTAAATGCTTATGAATGAACTCTACCGGCTCCCTCCTTGTAATGTGTAAAAATAGAAGTGGCGGGGAGCTCTGCAAGGCTCAAGATTTACCTGTCAGAGCACTCTGATTCAAATTGATTGGCATGGGAAGACTTTATAAGCCTTTTTCCCACCCAGCAGAGTTCACTTTGCGCAGAGCCCTCCATGGGTGAAGATGGGTTATTTTTTATTGTCGGGATTTTTTTTTTTTGGCTAGCATTTTTTTAATGCGATCGAGTCTTTTTTTTAAATTTTATTAGCTCGATGAGCTTTATGGACTTTTATTTAGCCTTTTTTGGGCTGAAAAAAATAAAAGTTTTTAGAAAAAAAAAATCTAATGGTAAGTATTACATTTTTACATTTTTAGATATTTAGTTTATTCCTTCTGTGTATTGATTGCACTATTATTAGGGTGAGGGGGATTGGCAGGGTAATACATATAATGACTGGGGTAGACTCAGGAAGATAATGCTAATAATTAAATAACAGGGGGACCTAATGGCCCCTCGGCCCACACCCATAGGCAGTAGGTGTGGCTAATAATCTCTTAATTTGGGGAGACCTCATGTCCCCCACAGCTCCCACCAATGGGCAATGGGTGGAGGTATTAATAAAATATATAAGGAAGATGTACATTCCAACAGAAAGACCCCACAAAGCATTAAACATTAATTTAAGGTTAGCAGTGACTGGCTCTGCGTAGAATTAACTTGCATGTCAGGAAAAGCATTTTTAAGGAGTTTCCCACTCTATGCAATTGTTTTTTCTTGAGACTTTTGTGGGAATATTTTTCATTTTATTAGTGAGTGGGCAGCAATAGCTACCCAGTCGCTATTTTTTTATTAAAATGTGCAGCCACTGGTTGCTCACTGGTTTGTACACATGTCTGTCCACATCATACTATAGTGTGGGGTCATTTTGACCCCCTAGGCTTCTTTGAATTTCTTTTTTAATGACCAACAAGGTAAATGATTAAAAAGGGTCTATAATTGTGCTTTTGATGCACATTTATCAGAGATTTTATGTTGAGTTGCACACCAATTTATTAGGTTCAGCTGCCTGCGTCTGACATTAACCCCTTAAGGACTGAGTCAATTCTACACATTCTGATCAAAACAAAACGTAAACAAAACCTGGAATTTGCACTGTATATTCAACCATAATTTACCTCTTTCATTAAGTGCACCCACACTTATTATATATATATAATTTTGTTCAGGAGAAACAGGGTTTTCATTTCACAGCAACTATTCATATATATAATTATTATGAATAAAATCTAAAAAAGTGTTAGAAACTAAGAATTTTTTTCATTTTAACTGTGAATGTCATAATACCGTTAGCTTTTACTGCAATAAAATGCACATATTTGTATTCAGCGATGTTTCACAAGTACAACAGTACCCCTAATGAACAGGTTTTCTGGTGTTTTGGAAAGTTACCTTGTCAATATAGTATGTAAATGTCAAAACTCATACATAGAAAAAATTATAGATGACTCAGGGAAATTGCATATGACGACAGACGCAATAGCGGATGCTTTCCATTCATATTATCAAAAATTATACAATCTCCCTAGTCCATTAAAAATATAAGGATACTCCCTCTGACTCTATAAACATATTTACACATGAAAAACATTACTATAATAATAAACATGACAAGTGGACTGAGAAACTCAACACTTGTCATGTTTATTATTATAGTAATGTTTTTCATGTGTATATATGTTTATAGAGTCAGAGGGAGTATCCTTATATTTTTAACCCACTAATCCAAGTCTATGCCCTAATTACCTGACTTTGCATACACAGAATAAGTCTGTTGAAAATGCTAGAATCACGCAACCTCACTAAGCAGGGGTCTCCGTATAAAGATAGAAACGTGTAACCTGGTTCCTCGCAATGCTACCGTACATACTTAACTGATATTTAACCGATTCCGTGATTATTGCTATGTTTGTAACCCAACTAAATGTTACTAGATCCTGTTATAACCCATATAATAACCCATATAATGGAAAAATGTATACTGTGTGTACAAAACCCAATAAAATACAAATTTAAAAAATAAATAAAAAGGACTATAGGGGGCGGGGCTAGCTCTTAACCACAACGGCCGCAGGCTTCCTGAGCTCCGATAGCCCGGCACAAAAAGCAACCAAAATAAGTGGAGATACGGGGTGTATTCCCCTCAACACATGCCGGAGGGTGTTGTCAGACGATGGGGCGGAAAACTAAAAAAGCCCCGACTGGATCGACCCAGATTCTGCGCCGATATTGGGGACCTCTTGACAGGGCTGCATGGTGCAGGGAGATCTGACATGGCAGCAGATCAGGGAGATTTCTCTGATGCATCAGAGGACTACTCTCTCCACAATATGGAGGATTTGGTATTAAAGCCACACAGGCCTACCCTGCCAGCAAACAAGGGTTCATCGCCACTCACCACGGAAATCCTTACCAGTCTCCTGGCGGATCTCCGCCAAAACCTCTCATCAGAAATACCTCAAGGGGTTCAATGGACGCCTGGACGCAGTCGAACATACCACCATAACGCACGCAGCACACATTCTGGAGTTGCAGCAACAGATAGGCACCCTTACCACAGCTCCAACATGCTGAGCCACCAGCTTGCAGCCATGGAAGATAGAAGACGGTGGAAACACCTGAAAATTAGGGTTCTCGCAGACAGCATCACCCAGGCAGAACTACCACACCTTCTGCGCAGGCTCTTTGCAGCCCTTCTATCTCCCAAACAAGCGAGGGGCATCACATCGGATGGGATGTTCCATCTCCCCAAGCCTCCGTCAGCCACAGCCTCCAACACCAGCGACCTATTGATCAAATTTCAAAATGGCCAGGACAAGGCTGCCATCATGAGTGCAGTAAGAGGAAAACCCCCGTTTCGGTTTGAGGAGATGGACATTACCTTTTACTCTGACCTCTCCCGCCCGACCTTACAGTGGTGGAAAACACTGCGTCCCCTCACGTCCATACTGACATCAAAGGGTATCAAATACCATTGTTGTCTGACACGCTTCCTCCTCATCAAACATCAGAACACGAAGCTCAGGGTGACAGAGGCATTGGAGATCGAGGTGGCCCTGACTACTCTAGGCCTGAACCACACCGCAACGCCTGCAACACCTGCACCTACAGAGTGGGACCCAGCTAACATCGTCCCATTCACCCCAGCGAATCGGAACTTATCCACCAGGGCGATTACTTGACTTTGCGATTATTCTTAAGTTTTACCTTTTTATGTTTTAAGGCCCATGCTCCCCATGGTGCCAGCCTTTTCCATATGCATCTCTGATGAAGCATAAGTTTACAGTTTAATGTTGAATTTTCCTTTGTTTATGCACCTCTTAAGTACTACATTATATAATAAGCTATGCACTACTTGCAGGGAAGGGCCTTACCCACCCCTGCTACCTTTCAGGCCTAAGCGGGCCATGACCGGGATAACCCTGGGTACACTAGCTCCTTCTATACCACCTACCCCCCAGCTCCATGCTAGTACCAACATACATCCACTCAACTCTGTGGAGCTGTATTCACACAGCGCCCAGTCCGCTCTAGATACACACCATTTAAACTTTTATTTCTTGTTACCACAAGGCCAAATATGCCTTAGACATCTACAGCTATTAAAGCAAACACTTGAGGCATGTATACGGCGGTATAAAGCTACTTTATTAAAATAACATCCACAATCAATGAGACCCTAACAAATGCATGTATATTGTTAATCAACAAATGCATGTATATTGTTAATCGAAATGTTTTGCTCTGAAGATTATGTTATACGCAATGTCTATCATTAAGTTGTCTGCGAAAAATAAAGAATTAAAAAAAAAAAAAAAGAACTTTAGGTATGAATATATAAATTTGAATCTACCTCAGAGAATATTGAACGATCAGATTAATAGCTTAGAGATTCCATTAACAGAGGAATTTGGAAGGGTAATAAAAAATATGCCACAAGGGAAAAGCCCAGGGCCAGATGGCTTCACAGTATTTTATTACAAAACTTTTCAATCACAATTAGCAGCACATTTTGTTAATGCATTCAACTCTATGGGCCCTGAAAGTGCTTTACCCCCTCCCATGTTACGAGCCTCAATCATAGTGCTTCTAAAAAAGGGAAGGATACTTATAAATGTGGGAGTTATAAGACAATTTCCTTAATAAACACAGACCTAAAACTCTTTGCAAAGATGTTGGCCTTATGCTTAATGCCCTATTTGCCTGGACTAATCCATCTTGATCAGGCAGGCTTTGTGACAGGCAAGGAGGTAAGGGATAACACCACTAAGATACTTAGTGTAATACATGGAGCAACAATGTCAAGGACGTCCACAGTCCTGCTTGCCATAGATGCAGAGAAGACCTTTGAAAGGGTGGATTGGTCCTATCTATTCAGCATTTTAGAGGCAATTAGGCTTGGCGAGAGGTTTAGATTTTGGGTACAGACATTGTACTCAGAACCCACAGCTAGTATCGAGGTGAATGGGCAAGATTTAAATCCCTTTTATATCAAGATTGAAACAAGGCAGGGATGTTCTTTATCCCCCTCTCCTCTTTGTTTTGGCCATTAGCCTTTATTACAGTCAATAAGGAAACACCCTCAAATTAAAGGATTTGGATTTTCAGGAGGAGAATTAAAAATATCAGCATTAGCTGATGATGTTTTATTAACAGTAACTGATCCTAGGAGCTCCTTGGCTCAGGTGAATATTGAATTAAATAAATATGGAGATGTCTCTAATTTCAAAGTAAATTTATCCAAATGTGAAGTGCTGGGGGTTGGGATCTCTAAAGGTAAAAAAAGTGAAATTTCTAGTTTATTAAATTTTAAGTGGGCTTTTTTCATTGAAATTTGTCAGATTGGTTTTGTTGCCTTTTGAGAGTGTATGGTAGCCCAGGAATGAGAATTACCCCCATGATGGCATACCATTTGCAAAAGAAGACAACCCAAAGTATTGCAAATGGGGTATGTTCAGCCTTTTTTAGTAGCCACTTAGTCACAAACACTGGCCAAAGTTAGCGTTTTTTGCATTTTTAACACACAGACAAATATAAATGCTAACTTTGGCCAGTGTTTGTGACTAAGTGGCTACTAAAAAAGACTGGACATACCCCATATTGAATACCCTGGGTTGTGTACTTTAAAAAAATATGTACATGTGAGGTGTGATTCAGAGATTTATGACAAATAATAGTGTTACAATGTCACTACTGATACATTTAAAAAAATATATATATTTTGAAACCGCAATTTCCTATTTGTACCGATAGCCCTATAACTTGCAGATATTTATATCTTATATATATGTAACTTCATTCTAAGTGTATTTTAATACTAATATATGTAATTATATTAATATTAAAATACACTAGGTAAGAAGTTATATATATATATATATATATATATATATAAATAATATACACACAAATATATATATATATATATATATATATATATACACACATATATATATAATTATTTTAATGTGTGGAATAATTATTTTTTGGGCTATTGCGGCCAAGTGATCGCTCTTTAAGAGCGATCACCTGGCCCCCGGAGGGCCTTGTTTTGCCGTGGGAGGACTGCCTCGGCTGCTAGGCATCCTTCCCGAAGCTGACCCCTGAGAAGGTAAGGATCCTGGGTGCTCCAGGCAAAAACCTGTTAAGGTGTTCTATGCCACCGCAACAGCTTTAGAGACCATTAAATGCGGGACAGCATAGAACGCTGTAATGGTGTTAAGAGGTTAAATCCAGCCGAAATTCTGAAGGACAAAGAACCCAATCAAATACAGTCGGTAGTTATCACCTGGTTTTTACAATGTAATTCAATCAAAAACTTAGTTAGCTTGCCATTTAATTAGCAAAGCTTATTACATGATACAATGTTCCACAGGGATTCCACAGCTTTGATGAATTTATTGTGATTCACGGATTTACAGAGAATTCTAATAGGATTTGACATTTTAGGACTAAATAGTCAAACCCGAAACATAGAGACTTGGAGAATTTTTATTATCCACTATTGTGGCCTAAAATTTGCAATCTAGCTTGAATCGCAACTATGCACACTTTAGTTAATAACCATGAAACTTGACTAAAATAGTAATGATATGCATTTACACGTTTAATATGTTTGTACTTACAGCTCTCAGTGCCATTAACAGGTTTGAATAAGAAAAAATGATGGTACTTAAAGGCATGATAAAGCATGTTGTAAATAATGCCATGATGTAACTGTTGTTATTATTACCACCGGAGTACCAATTGGGTCCACAAGATGTCCGCAGTCCTAAAGAATAAGATATTACAATTACTGATATAATCTAATTAGTTTTCAAAACTAACTTTTCAAAAGATCTTCATTGTTAAAATTCAAAATGTAATGTGATCCTTCATCGTTTTAGTAAGGCTGTAATGTTATAGCATCAGTCTTTTTTAATCTGTTATTGTTGGCTAGACCCAAATTAAGTTTACAATAGGAACCTAGTGACCAAATCTTTAATATAATTAACATTTCAATAGCATTTTGAAAATGCCGTAATTTGGTTGCTTTCAATGTCAGTTGGACCTCTACTTTACTGAGAAAGTTGATTCCATTACAGTAAACAACTTATTGTGGGCTGTTGCCTGGGTGTTGATGAATATGATGTGCCTGTTTTTTAACCTCTGGAGAACCACAAGGTGAAGCAAGAGGATTTGAGGTCTGATTTAGTGGTAAAAGGATTACTCCAACCAAAAAACAACAGTAGTTTAAGACCCTCCTCCTAGCTGCCAGGGTGGCGATATAGGGGGAGGACGGACTGAGGGCAGGACATTGGATGTTTGTTGCCAGCATGCTGTGTGTGATGATGACAGATGTCCAATATGAACAGAATTGACATAAGTCAGTCCAGAACTCTTGTTCCAGACTGGCTAATCAAGCCCCAATGATGTTGCTGTAGGTGTTGTTGGACATACAAACAAAGAGATGGAGCAAACGATAGATATTTCTATATTTATTCACTGTTCTTTCATATTCTAGGTATTTAAGGACGCAAACCTTCAGGAACATAGCTGCACCATCCAAAAAGAGGTGGACATGTCCAAATGAAAGACCAAACCCAAGTGAAAGTGCACCCAAGGACTGCGTGTCGCTGCTGGAAGCGGAAATCCCCCATGGGTTTGCAGATTACCAAATACCTCTCAAAGGCCAAAATTGCCAGAGACCAAAGACCTACAATACCTAGAAAAAAAACAGAATTGAGTTAGCAAGCCTTATAATACGTTTTATTACATGTGAGATATTTACTAAAGCAACATACCAATGTTTGTTTAAGTGATATAATATTTCAATCGTAAAACAGCAATATCAATATTTAACCACTTGAATCATTCTGTTATTTGTAATTCTGCAAAGTTTCAGGCAGGGAACATCATTTTTTCAATATAGTGTCTCTTCTCATGACATCATGATGTAAATGCTCTGCACAGTTTTATTATTAATAAAAACATTATTAGTTCAGTGTGCAGGTCAAGATGTACATCTGGAGGGCATTTAGGCACATTAGTCTAAGGCACTCATCCAAGTCCAATAAACCAGTGGCGTACAAAGGGGGGGGGAGCGGAGGGGGCTGTCCGCCCCGGGTGCCACTGGGTGGGGGGTGCCATGACCCTGGTGTGGGGGCTGTGTAGGCTGTGGCCGCACAATGCCCCATGGTAGTTAGGGTGCCGTGCGGCCAGAACAGCTCACACACGCAAGGAGCAGCTGAACTGGCCGCACGGAAGGAAAGTGGGGGCAGGGCTAAGCAGAATCTGGGCGCAGCCAAATTGGCAGTGGGGGCGGGGCTTAATATGGCTGTTACTGCTGCACATGGAGGTGCAGCAAGAAGGAATCCCTGCCTCTCCACCTAACAGGCTCTGTCAGGGTATTTATATCGGCAGACATCTTGTGCCATGATAGAAATTAAAAGTGTATATGCTGAGTCACTTTGAATAGAGCAGACTCCATTTTGTTATTTTCAAGCTAACAAGAGACACAAGATTTCTATCTGTAAAACTAACCACTTTCCCAGAGCTAAAGGAATGCATAGTATATACAAACCAAGTGATAAGGAGAACGGGGGTTGGACAGACTGTCTAAATGCTAATGGAATATAATCAATTCTAAACCCAGACATTTGTGACAGAGAAGATTAAATAATTTAATTTTACTTTTTATATTGTATAACCTCCCATTGTAGTTTAAGGTGAAACTTAGTTTACGAACTGTCATATTAGAAATTATAGCAGGAATTGCGGACACTAAGTCTGGACAAAACTAAGAGAAAACCCTTTGAAGTGAAAGAAAACGTAAGTTATGGCAACTATAAAGATAAAGCAAAATGACGTCAAAATAGCCACCAAGAAAAGTTAACTCTTTCCTGGATAGGTATGTTTAGTGGGACAAGACTGCCCTCTATAGACCAAATACTAAATTGCTATCTGGAAGGTAACCACACCCCAGTGTTCCTATTGGTCTATCAACTAGTGAATTTTCCCTTTAAAAAGTTAAGACAAAGGGAAGAGAAAGGAGAAGAAAGAGGTAGGCGAGGAATACAAGGGTATACAAAGGAAGCAAAGAAGTGAACAGTCGGGAGAAATGCAGAGAGGCCTATGACAGATATCCACTCTAGGACATTCAGAAATTCCTACACACCTCCATGCAGAGAGACATCCAAATAAGTTCCTGAGACTACCTACTCATCTGATGAGAATACCTACATAACTGGTAATTATGCTGGTTTTATTTAATTAATTTAACCCCTTAAGTACACATGCCATGATTCACTTTTATTCCAGAAGTTTGGTCCTTAAGGGGTTAAATTAATTAAAATTTACTAATAGCATGATATATGACTGGATAAATCACGGTCAGATTTCCATATTAAGAAATCTTAGTTAATTAAAGAAGATATAGTTATAAACATTCCATTCTGCAGGTGGAATTAAGAATAATTATATATTAATGTGATAGTATCACATGTTAGCATACCGCTGTTTTTATCCAGGTGTATTGATTTGCTCTAATAAAAGATAAGATATCTTTTAGACAAATTAAACTCTGCTTATATAACATGGTAGATTCTCTTATTGGATGGTTCCAGGAAATGACTAATGAACTGGTTTAAATGTTATTTTATTTAAAATTACATAAGAATAGATCTTAATTACCTAGGAGGTCTAGTCAGCATTGAAAGGGTTATTCTAACTGTCAGCTAAACTTTACGACCTTACGCTGCACTTTGAAGAATTCTGTTCTCTGCGTGAAACTTTTTCTTTCTCTCTGTGAAAGACAGTCATAAATCTTCTCTTGACAGCTAATGTTGTAGATTCTATACTGTGTTAACCAGTGGAAGTACAAAATTGGCATTTTGTATTGCATATCATTTTATACTGGATATTCATTGATTATTGTCACGCATGTTACATGTTATTGTTAGTTCATTTGTTACAATAAAAATAAATCTATTTTTATAACAAATTGTGATTTTATTTATATGAAATACTTTTCAAATTACACGATAACGATCTTTGGGATCTGAGAATTGAATTAGAGGGCAATTCTCACTGTTTACTATTATTATCCCATAAATATCCCCACAGCTCCAAGGAAGGACTTCAGGGAATCCACTCCTCCTCCAGCTCCTGTCTGTAAGTAATAGTGTGTGTTTGACTGTGTCTGTAAAACTGTCTTCCTGTAACTGTGTTTGTGACTTTGTGTGTGTGCCAAGCCCAGGATCCGCCCCGGGTGCCAAATGCTCTAGGTACACCCCTGCAATAAACAAATCTTCATTAAAAAAACTATATGTGTGTGTGCGTGACTTTGCACAAGTGCTTTTGGAGAAATTTGCATTTTATGTTTACTTAGTGAGTGTGTGCATTTCCCAAGTAAGGGGGTAAATCTCATAAATGCAGGTATTAGGATGCTAGTGTAGAACCTGCCAAGAATAGGGTACATTGACATTGTGGCAGGCTTCTGCAATGTATGATCATATAAGGTAACTAAATTGATATAAGACAAAACTACATGATGGAGTCACAAGAAAACTGTTACAAAGTTTGTATTGGTTGTAGGGTAATTAAGGGCATAACCAAACATACAAATTGATAGCTAGATTGGATCAGGCCTCAAAAAAGAGGATACGATACCAATAGAATTATCCACACATCAGTAGATATTCAACAATGAAAGCTCAAAGAGCCAAACAATAGTGAAAAAAACCCCACATAAATACATACAAAATAATGATAACTATTTTATTAACTCCTGATTGGGATAATGGACATACAATCAGTGAACTACAAGTGATTAAAGTGAAAAGATGTGATACATAGATCCTTAAAATAGTATAGCTAATTAGCGTTTGGTATGTCAGATAGAGCGTTAGAAATCCTCATAAACAAGATAAAAAGTAAAGTAGCTATATTGATTACAATGATGCAATATGTAACTTACAAAAGTCCTGTGTATGCATGATATATAAAGTGTAGAAATTGACACCTCTAGCTTGTATATCCATAAATGGATGGTACATTCATCAATTCTACACATACACTCCAATAAGATTATAAAGAGGAGTACATAGTTAAATTGATCCTGTATAAATTCATGGGGAGTAATAAATAGTTACTCTAATTTGATAGAAGAAGGGGAAGAATGGGGGGTAGCAGAACACCACATATAAATATATCTAAAGAGCTTCCTTAGATAGAAAGGAGTTTTAATCCACTTCAGATTCTCTTATGTAGTATAATACAAAAAGTTGTATATGCCAGGCAAAACGGTAGGGAGGAAAGCAAGTGAGGAGAGCCTTCCACTGGGCCGCCGGTTCTCTGAGTGCTGCGTTGGACGAGGATTGCATTGGTAGGTAGTCAGGGGAGGTTGGCAAGGGGGGAGAGATATGGATGAAAGGGGGGAGATATGGATAAAAGGGGGGAGGTTGGCAAAGGGAGATATGGATGAAAGGGGAGGCTGGCAAGGGGAAGATATGGATAAAAAGGGAGGTTAACAAGGGGAGCGATATGGTTAAAAGGGGGGTATATATGAATGAAAGAGGGGGGAGATATGGATAAAAGGGTGGGAGAAATTGATGAAAAGGGGGATATGGATAAAAGGGGTGAATATGGATGAAAGGGGGAAGGTTGGCAAGGGGGAAAGATATGAATAAAAAGGGGGAGGTTGACAAAGGGGAGAGATATGGATGAAAGGGGGAGGCTGGCAAGGGGGGAGAGATATGGATAAAAAGGGGGAGGTTGACAAGGGGAAGATATGGATGAAAGGAATATGGATGAAAGGGGATATATAAATGAAAGAGGGGGGAGGGGAGATATGGATAAAAGGGTGGGAGAAATTGATGAAAAGGGGGATATATGGATAAAAGGAAATGGATTGGCAAGGGGAAGATGTCAATGAAATGGGGAGATTGGCAAGGGAGGTGATATGGATGAAAGGGGAGGCTGGCAAGGAGAAATATGGATGGAGGGCGGAGATATAGATAAAAGGGGGGGAATATGGATGAAGGGGGAGATATGAATGAAAGGATGCGGAGATATGGATAAAAGGGAGGAGAAATTGATGAAAATGGGGGAGATATGGATAAAAGGGGGATCATATGGATGAAAGGGGGAGACATATGGATGAAGGAGGAGATAGGGAGGAAAGGGGGGAATATGGATGAAAGGAGGGAGGTTGGCAAGGTGTGTGATTTGGATGAAAGGGGGTAGGTTTGTAGAGGGGGTGATATGGATGAAAGTGGGGAGATCTGGATGAAAGGGGGGAGATATGGATAAAAGGGGGGGGAGATATGGATGAAAGGGGATATATGGATGAAGGGCTATATGGATGAAAGGGGAGGTTGGCAGGGGAGAGATATGGATGAAGGGGATTAGAATGAAAGGGGGGAGGTTGGCAAGGTGGGAGAGATATAGCTGAAAGGGGGGAGGTTGGCAAGGGGGGATGAGATATGGATGAAAGGGGGAGGTTGGCAAAGGGGAGATATATGGATGAAAGGGGGGAGGTTTGCAAAGGGGATATATATGGATGAAAGGGGGAGGTTGGCAAGGGAGGAGAGATATGGATGAAAGGGGGGAGTTATTGATGAAAGGGTTGGGAGATATGGATGAAAGGGGGGAGATATGGATAAAAGGGGTGGAATATATGGATGAAAGGGGGGAGATATGAATGAAATGGGGGGAGATATGGATAAAAGGGGTGGGATATATGGATGAAAGGGGGGGAGATATGGATGAAAGGGTGGGAGATATGGATTAAGGGACGGGAGACATGGATTATCAAAACTGATAGTAATGTTAAAGCCCCCTCTTGCACCCTCTGTTGTATATAATATCTACTAATCATATTCCTTGAATTGTTAGTTATTCTTACACAGAATAAAATAAGGGACTGTTAAGTTTGATTTTATAACCGGCAGCCATTTTATAATCAGTTGCCATTTAAGTCAGCCGCCATTTCATAAGCATTAGCCATTATAAATCTGGTTCTATTTTTCTAGTGTATTGCTAAAAAGCTGTTATCTTTTATAAGGACAGAATAAAATATTAAGTATTATTTATTTGTTAATTAAAGTGTTCTGTTCCATCTACGTACAGATATTCTCCAAAAGGGGAAGTACATGTCCAGGAAGATACTTTGAGGAAGTATCAGAAATATATATATTCTGCAAGATGATCAAATATGTTATGAAACAATGTCTGCAATTAAATGAAAGATGTACAATTATATTTCTAGAAAGCAGTGACCTGCCATCTTATCAAGTGATGTCTAACTTTGGCAATGACCTGTCTACCTTGTGACCATGAACGGATTTTTCTATCAATGATCCAAAATATTTGCTGACTCTGTGTAATATGTGCTCAGTAACCATCTTCTGTTTTTTTATATAAACCCTGACTGAAGCCAATAAACTTCAAGATATGATTTGAGATTGTGTTGTGTGTCAGTTATTTTTTCAGAGTTGCTCGTAAATGTGTTTGTGCTGGTTGGAGTTCCAAGCATGGTCTGCAGCCATGAATAGTCCCCAGGGAAGGGGGAGGGATATTGATTAAAGGGGGGAGGTTGGCAAGGGGGGAAGATATGGATGAAAGCGGGGAAGTTGGCAAGGGAGTTTATATGGATGATAGAGGGGAGGGAGGTATGGATAAAAAGGGTGGGTGGAGATAGATAAAAGGGGGATATTCATGCACCCCTGTATCTCCCCTCCCCCCATCATGAAAAAGTATAAATGATCATTTTTTTTCTTGTTTAGATCAATTTTAATCATTTTCTATTGTCTGCATTTCCATAGCCAGCATACTACACAAATCTGATTTTGGCTAAACATGCTGTATCCCATTCTGGAACTCATTTTACATTTTTAAAGGTGCTGTTCCACATAGCATGACTCCTAAGTTCTCCACCATGTAAAGGAAAACTAAAGAAACATATGTAGCATTATATTTTGTTTCCTTATCCTCCCTGACTCATAAAAAAATTATTAAAAGAAATTGAAAGTTCCTGAGGTTTCCTGCTGTCACTCAAAGCCCTCCGCACTATATGAAATCACTGCAAGGAGAACTCGTACACATGAAATAGCAAAGCTCCATATACACTGCTTTCCCAATAATGCCAATAATAATCTGTTATCAACCACAAATCATAAATATATATTTTACACACACATATTTAGACTTGTATGATTATGGTAATGTCCCAGAGGAATGCTTGTCACCGTATTGCAAGCATAGTACAAGCACATCACACCTTATCACCAGCACAACACAGGCCATTACACCTTATTGCAAGCACAACATTTATAAATCACACCTTGTTACAAACATAACACTGGGACATCTCACCGTATTAGTGCCGAACCGGGGATAAAAACTAGCCCAGTAATTTTTTTTTTTTTATTGAATCTTTAGTTTTGTATGACAGGAAGTACGAAAAGGTATAGTGTACAGAGATCCAGAATGTCGAGGTGATAACAGTTGAAGCAAAATTATACATCATATTTAGCAACATATAGCTTAAAAACAGTCATCGTGTCCAGCTAAGCCTCAGAGTGAGCCTTTATATCTACACTACCAGGTTTTTTACAAAAGTAAACTCACAGCTTCTCGTCACGCAGGTTTGTCACTACATGTAAATATTCCACTGTTAGCTCAGTTATTGTATTATCTGTTACAAAAGACATAGTCAAAGAATGAGAAGAGTGCAGGTTACATTGCGGAACCTCCTGATTTAGTCAAATATATAAAAAAAAAAAAAAAAGGAAAATAAAGGATAATTTTCACTAAATAGTATACGTTCTGTGAAAAGCTTAATATCCCCTTCAGCTCTACCCCCTACCTGGCCTCAGTTTACAGGGAATGAATCTATGTCGTGATATAGTATAGAGAGTATAGGTATAGAAGTAGCATGTAGAAAAGAAGATGGTGTGGTCATTGCTAGGAGAGGTCAGGTCCCCCAGTGTGTGCCCCCCGGTTCCGGGGAACCCTCACATGTCACAGGCCGTGGGACACATATGGGAACCACGGTCGCCCCCAATAAGTAAAAATCAACAGACATAACGTCAATAATAATCAACAGACGTAGCGTCAGTGAAAATCAACAGACGTAGTGTCAATAAAAATCAACCGACATAGCGTCAGTGAAAATCAAGCGACATAGCTTCAGTGAAAATCAACAGATATAACGACAGTGAAAATCAACTGACATAGCTTCAGTGAAAATCAACAGACATAGCATGTCTGGATGTCCTGACTAAATTTGTGCAGGACCGGGGGGTGCTTATGGGGGCAATCAGGGGAGAACCTGTTGTGACTTTTGAGGACAGTCAATTTACCCTTAAAAAAAAGTAGTAATAATATAAATAAATAAATAAATTATATAATAATTATACATTACATTTTATTATAATTATATCATAATAAAATTAATAATAATAAAAAATAATAAAGAAAAAATTGCATTACTACAAAAGACTTAGAAAATACAAGTTTTGGGAATAAGGGGTTTGTTTTTTAAACAGTGCCCAAAAATATATATATATATGGGGGATTTATTGCTGTTAAAATAAAAAAAAAGACATATGTTCAATTTAAATTACTCACCTACTCTGCAGAGTTCAAAACAGAAACACACAGTCTGCAGCTATGGGCGTCCGCAGGGGGGAGGCAAGGGGGGCACTTGCCTCTCCCCCCCCCCCCCGGATTTTCGTATGTGTGATAATAAACTGCAATACTGCTGTGAATGGAGAAAGGCATGGATAGGAAGCTACAGCTTATCCCTGCTTCTTTCTCCTGACTGCATCCACAGGGAAGCAGCACAGAGTGCAGCCAGCAAGCATGGGGGGGGTGGGAGCCTACAGATCAGGTAAGTGAGACATGGGGGGGCAGCCTACAGATCAGGTAAGTGAGACATTGCGGGGGCAGCCTTCAGATCAGGTAAGTGAGGCATGGGGGAGCAGTCTACAGATCAGGTAAGTGAGGCATGGGGGGGCAGCATACAGATCAGGTAAGTGAGGGATGGGGGGGGAGACAGCCTACAGGAAGGTAAAGTAGAAGGAGCAGAAAGGTTCTGCAAGGGGCAGGAGAGGTCAGCAAGAAATAGGAAGAGCGGAAGGGGCAGCAAGAAGCAGGAAGGGGTAGCAAAGGTTTGCAAGGAGCAGGAAGGAGCAGAAATGAGCAGGAAGGGGCAGCAAGGAGCAGGAGGGGCCATCAAGGAGCAGGAGGGGCCAGCAAGGAGTAGGAAGAGTCTGCAAGGGGCAGGAGTGGTCAGCAAGGGGCAGGAGGGGTCAGAAAGGAGAAGAAGGCTCTGCAATGGGCAGGAGGGGTCAGCAATTAGTAGGATGGGTCAGCAAGGAGTAGGAAGGGTCTGCAAGGGGTCAGCTAGGGTAGGAGGGGTCCGCAAGGAGTAGGAAAGGTCTGCAAGGGGCAGGAGGGGTCAGCAAGGAATAGGAAGAGGAAGCAAGGAGTAGGAAGGGTCTGTAAGGAGCAGGAAGGGTCTGCAAGGAGCAGGAAGGGGCAGCAAGGAGAAAGAAGGGGCACCAAGGAGCAGAAAGAATCAGAAGGAGCACCGAGGTAAAGTAGGAGAAGGAACAGAAAGCATCTACAAGGAACAGAAAGAGACTACATGGAGATGGTAGCAAGAAGGAGGAAGGGTCTGCAATGAGCAGAAATGAGCAGGAAGGGAAATCAAGGAGCAGAAAAGGTCAACAATTATCTGGAAGGGGCAGAATGAGCACAAAGGTAAAGTTGGAAAAGGAACATAAATGAGCAGCAAGGAACAGGAAGGAGCAGCAAGAAGCAGGAAGGGTCTGCAAGAAGCAGGAGGATGCAGAAAGGGGCAGCAAGGAGCAGGAAGGGTCTGCAAGAAGACTGTGTCAAATGGAGAAGAAAATGAGATTGGAGCAGGAAGGACAAGTGAAGTGATCCCTTCACTTCATTCTGGACACCACATCATAAGGCTTTGGTACCTGGGCCTGGCAGGAAACTTTGGACCTTCTCATCTCCCCAGGTAAAAAATATATCAGTGTTAACGTGTTCACTTTTATTTACTGAGTGTCAGGAAACACAGAGGGCTTCTAGGTAGGGGTGCCGCTGATTGGCTACAAAGGTCAGCTGGCACTCTAAGCCAATCAGTAGCTCCCCATTCATAAAAACTTTAAAAAAATTATGAATCAGGAACTAGCGATTGGCTTAGAGCGCCAGCTGACCTTTCCAGTCATTCAGCGGCACCGATGCCTGACTTCAATCTGCACTTACTGACACTCTGTTTCAGAAGCAGAATACCACTGAGCGACCTGGAGCTGGAGGAAACCTTTGGGGTTAAACAATTTAAGAGCGGTTCACCCTTTAAAGGAAAGAAAATGCCCAGGGGCCTCCTTGCATCATAGCATTTTCATTTAGATTAAGTTGTTATGATGACCAGAATGTTCCTTTGATTTGATTAAAGGAACACTATAGTGTCAGGAAAACAAACTTATTCCTGACACCATAGTTGTGAAAACGCTATTCACCATGGCTTTATGTGATAATGACTATGCTCCACCCCTTCATGACACTGTCAAAAAGGGGCCAAGCATAGATGTCATTACAATTATGCCCCCTCCCCCTGGAAAAACTCCTGCGGACGTCCATGTCTGCAGCTTTTCCCGGTTTCTCCCTGACACAGCTCAGCTGAGCTTCAGTAAGCAGACAGCACGTCTCCACTCCTCCTCCACACACCACACGTGCTGCCCGGCTAAAATGGAAGGAGGCTCTGAAGGGTGCATGCTGCTTCTTGTGGGAGGTAGGCTTGCTCTCTGCTCTCCATGGCAACAGACATTAATCAGGAAGCAGGAACAAAGCAGAGCAGAGAGAGGGCGGGAAGTGCAAGGGGTGTCAGATTGATTGTGGTTTTTTTTTTCTTACAGCTTTTATCTAAAGCTGAAATATGTATCTCTCACTAGGCAAACAAGGCATTTTGCCACCACATTGGCAAGTGCCGCCCAAGGGAAATGCCTTGTTTGCCTCGTGATAGATACACCCCTGTCGCCATGTCTCCGCGTGTTTACTCCCCCTCCCTGTCAGGCCCCTCAGCCCCCTAAATGTCCTTGACTCTGCGGATCCACTCCTCCTCGCAGGGTATCTCCGTCCGCCTCCAGTAAACTAGGATAAGTGCCATGGCCGCATAAGTGTCGTAGAATCGTTTTCTTGTATAGTGATACAGGTTGGGATGAAATATGCAAAAGGGCCAGTTCAGCCGACCAGTCGGTCGAGTCCCCCAAGATCTCCGTCACTTTAGCCCTAACCATCTCCCAATATGGGACAATGTCACAGCATTCCACCAAATGTGTATCATCATCCCCCTCTTCACTTGGCATCTCCAGCATATTAGAGGGGTCATCGGAAATACTCTATGGAGTAGGGTTGTTTTTTTTTTACCACAGTGATATTAGTTTATAGTTCATCTCCTAGTATTGCGAGCTATTGGAGCTCTTATGTTGCTAAACTAAAGCTTTGTCCTATTGTTGAGATGAGAAGGTCTTGCCCAAAATTTCTTCCCATTGTCTGCAAAAGTTGTTGTTCGCCGTCTAGTGCCCGACTAAGAGATATTGGTAGAGTGCGGACACTGCCCTATCAAGTGTGTCACCCTGTTCACAGATTTCTTCAAACCAGGTAAGATCTCTGTGTAACCGGTCGTTATGAGGAAGTGAGTCGTAATAATGCTTCTGTTGCATGTATCTGAAGGCAGCCAGAGGAGTTCGTGGTCTACCCTCTAGCAGCGAGTCCAGGCTCCGTATCGTCCCACCATGTAAGGCTTTATGGATGGGTATATATTCCCGTCCCTCCAAAAAGGGCCAGGCTTTTGGCGGAAGTCCCCCTCCCAGTGTGCAATTGTGAGTGACCGGGAGTAAAGGGCTGAGCATGGGTGAGACGTGTGGTTGTTCCCTCAGTGCCTTCCAGCTGCGTAGGGTTTGCGTCACTGGTCCCGCTCCGTCCCTGCGTTCAAGATATCCAGAACCCCCTCCATATGGTTGACTCCAGGGTGGTATTAGTTCCCTCTTTGTCTAGGGCCACCAATTGTTTTTGCGAGGAGCCCATGTGCCATTACAGTATACGCTGCATGACCGCAGCCTGATGGTACTTTTTAAAGTCGGGCAATGCCAGGCCTCCACAATGTCTAGGTAGACAGAGTAAGTCATGTCAGAGTCTTGATCTTTCCCCCCGCCATAAGTATCAGATGACCGCTGATTTTAAGGAGGAGAAAAAGGATGCCGGTAAGGCTAGCGGGATGATCTAAAAGAGATAAAGGACCGTGGGAGTATATTCATTTTATGAACTGCTATTCGCATGTGCCACGACACATGTGGGTATGTCCATTTGTCTGCCAGTAGTGTCTTCAGCAGAGGAATGGAGTTATGTTGGTACATGTCTCCTGGGTCTGATGTTACCCAAATCCCGAGGTACTTCATTTTGCCATAGCACCAACGGAATAGTAACAGTGGGTCCAGGGCAGTATATTCCTCAATAGGAAGTGTTATGTTCAGCACTTCACACTTGGACAGGTTAAGTTTAAAAACCGAGATTCTGCCGAATCGTTCAAATTCTGAGAGGAGGCAGGGCATCGTGGTCCGAGGGCTAGAGGCGGCGACCTTATGTTCCACCCCCTGCCAGGTATAACCCCGGATATCTGGGTGCTGGCGGAGCGCCTGGAGCAGAGGTTCCAGTGACATAGCAAATAACAGCGGGGATAAGTGGCATCCCTGCCTTGTTCCGTTGTTAATCCCAAAGTCGGTCGTAAAGGCCCCGTTGACCCTTACCGCAATGCGTTGGTTACTATACAAGGCAGTGATCCAGGCAAGGAGTCTCTGTCCCAATACCATTTTCCTCAAACGCCTTCTCAGCGTTAGTTGAGAGAAATAGGAGGCCGTGACTTCCTCGCATGGTGTTGTATTGAGAACAGCCGTAGTGTGCTATCTCGCGCCTCTCGCCCCGGAATAAACCCTCTCTGGTCAGCGTGTATCAAAGATGGCAGGACAGCCTGGAGTCTAGATGCCAGCACCTTCGTAAACAGCTTGGTGTCCACATTCAGCAGTGAGATCGGGCAGTAGCTGCTACAGTTCAGCAGGTCTTTTCCGGGTTTTGGAAGAACAGTTATAGTTGCAGCCAAAGACTCCATCTCGAAGGTCCCCCCCTCCTCAACAGTGTTGAGGGTTTTTGTTAACCACGGTATGAGCAACATTGAGAAGGTCTTATAGTATCCCCTAGAGAATTGCCAAGTGCTTTGCCCTTTTTGGTCATCTTTAAAGCAGCTGAGAGTTCTTCCATGTTAATCTGGACATCCAGTATCGCCGCCGTGTCCCTGCTTGCCTGTCTCGCAACATTACTGTGTAAATAGTCATGTATGTGAGTGGCAAGGTTGTATAGGGATCAATAGTATGTCCTAAATTCTTCCGCTATGTCGGTTGGAAAAGATGATGTCGAGCCCGTCGATAAGTGTAATTTACGAAGCGGCGTTCAAGGGGTTTTATCTTTCAGAAGACGAGCGAGGAATCTACCCCCTTTGTTGGCATGGGCATAGAAGAAACCCCTGGAATGCTGTAGAAAGCGAAGATATCGTCCCGTTAGGAGTTCCATTAGCTGTCTTCGAGCTCGCATCAGCTCCCCATAAGTTTCCATCACCTGAGATCATTCAGGTTGGAGTTCCAGGGTTGAGATTGATTGGTAGAGGTCAGCCATCTCCCTTAGAGCTACCTTTTATTTTATGGAAAGGGATGCATATGAGTGTGCCCTGAATGACACTCTTATGAACCTCCCAGATCGAGATTGGTGAGGTGTCCGGCGTACCGTTTTCCTGAAAGTAAAGGTCCAGTGCTTGGGAGACCTGCTCCGGACCTCGGGTTCCAAGAGCAAGGCCTCATTGAGCCTCTATGTACATGTCGAGGGCCGAAAAGGGGGAGACTCAAGCTCAGGCTTTTAATAAGCGGGAAAGGCCCTCCTGTCTGATGAAAAGGTAATCGATACGAGAGTATCGGTCATGAAGTGTGGAATAATGAGAAAAATGACTGGGACATAGCAATACCAGGGTACTCTTTATATAGGAAAGATAGGGAAGGCAAGAAAGGGGGAGGGGTGGCCTTGTATGTGAAGGATAGCATAAAATCTAGCCTAATAAAAGTTAGTGAGGCAAACATAGAGTCCGTTTGGGCTACGTTAGAATTTGGTAATCACACAGTAACTCGTGTAGGTGTGATTTATAGGCCCCCAGGACAAATTGAAGAGTTAGATAATCTACTAGTTGAGGAAATAGCTAAAATGACAATGAAGGGGAAGTTATCATCATGGGTGACTTTAATCTTCCTGATGTAAATTGGAAAACAAAATTAGCTACTTGTGCCAGGAGCACACATATTCTAAACTCCCTACTGGGATTGTCTCTAAAACAAGTTGTTGAGGAGCCAACTCGTAAAGAGGCCATACTAGATTTAGTGTTAACAAATGGAGATTTGGTATCAGATATTACTGTAGGTGAAAGTTTAGGATCCAGTGATCATCAGTCAGTGTGGTTTAATATAAGAACAGTGACTGAGTCACACCACACAAAAACAAAAGTTTTAGACTTTAGAAAAACAGACTTTTCTAAAATTAGAATATGGGTAGAGGAGTCATTATCAGACTGGAGCAATTTAAATGGAGTCCAAGAAAAATGGGATTATTTAAAAGTTGCACTATTGAAGGCAACAGAAAATTGCATTAGGCTTGTCAGTAAAAGCAAAAAATTCAAGAAACCACTGTGGTACTCCGCAGATGTGGCCAAAATAGTTAAAACAAAAAGTTAGCATTTAGGAATTATAAAAAAACCCAGAGTGAGGAAGACAAAATGATCTATAAGATTAGGCAGAAAGAGGCTAAGCAAGTTATAAGAGCTTCCAAATCACACACAGAAGAGAAAATAGCACAGTCAGTAAAAAAGGGGGATAAAACATTTTTAGATACATAAATGAGAAAAGAAAAGTAAAACAAGGATTAATTAGATTAAAAACAAAAGAAGGAAGGTATGTAGAAGAGGATAAAGGTCTAGCTGACTGCCTCAATGAATATTTTTGTTCTGTATTTACAGATGAAAATGAAGGAAAGGACCTCAGTTGAGAAAAAGGATAAATGAAGTCATTTATTACACGTGAGTTTACAGAGGGAAGAGGTTCTATTTCAACTGTCAAAAGTAAAGACAAATAAAATCAATGGGACCTGATGGAATGCAAAGCTATTAAAAGAGCTTAGTGGTGTACTAGCAAAACCATTAACAGATTTATTTAACCAATCATTGTTAACAGGAGTAGTCCCAGAAGATTGGAAGTTAGCGAATGTTGTGCCTTCAGTAGTGGGGAAAGTGATGGAAACCATGTTAAAGGATAGGATTGTTGAACATCTAAAAACACATGGATTTCAAGATCAGAGACAACATGGGTTTACTTCAGGGAGATCATGCCAAACTAATCTTATTGATTTTTTTGATTGGGTAACTAAAATTATAGATCAGGGTGGTGCAGTAGACATTGCTTACCTAGATTTCAGTAAGGCTTTTGACACTGTTGCACATAGAAGGCTTATCAATAAACTGCAATCTTTAAGTTTGGATTCCAATATTGTTGAATGGGTAAGGCAGTGGCTGAGTGACAGGCAACAGAGGGTTGTAGTTAATGGAATATATTCGAAGCTTGGACTTGTCACCAGTGGGGTACCTCAGGGATCTGTACTTGACCCATTCTCTTTAATATTTTTATTAGTGATATTGCAGAAGGTCTTGATGGTAAGGTATGTCTTTTTGCTGATGATACTAAGATATGTAACAGGGTTGATGTTCCAGGAGGGATAAGCCAAATGACAAATGATTTAGGTAAACTAGAAAAATGGTCAGAATTGTGGCAACTGACATTTAATGTGGATAAGTGCAAGATAATGCATCTTGGACGTAAAAACCCAAGGGCAGAGTACAGAATATTTGATAGAGTCCTAACCTCAACATATGAGGAAAGGGATTTAGGGGTGATTATTTCTGATGACTTAAAGGTAGGCAGACAATGTAATAGAGCAGCAGGAAATGCTAGCAGAATGCTTGGTTGTATAGGGAGAGGCATTAGCAGTAGAAAGAGGGAAGTGCTCATGCCATTGTACAGAACACTGGTGAGACCTCACTTGGAGTATTGTACACAGTACTGGAGACCGTATCTTCAGAAGGATATTGATACCTTAGAGAGGGTTCAGAGAAGGGCTACTAAACTGGTTCATGGATTGCGGGATAAAACTTACCAGGAAAGGTTAAAGGATCTTAACATGTATAGCTTGGAGGAAAGACGAGACAGGGGGGATATGATAGAAACATTTAAATATATAAAGGGAATCAACACAGTAAAGGAGGAGACTATATTTAAAAGAAGAAAAACTACCACAACAAGAGGACATAGTCTTAAATTAGAGGGACAAAGGTTTAAAAATAATATCAGGAAGTATTACTTTACTGAGAGGGTAGTGGATGCATGGAATAGCCTTCCAGCTGAAGTGGTAGAGGTTAACACAGTAAAGGAGTTTAAGCATGCATGGGATAGGCATAAGGCTATCCTAACTATAAGATAAGGCTAGGGACTAATGAAAGTTTTTAGAAAATTGGGCAGACTAGATGGGCCGAATGGTTCTTATCTGCCGTCACATTCTATGTTTCTATGTAATAATGTGTGAAGTCCCTAATGTTAGGGTTAAGGGCCCTCCTACAATCCACTAGGCCCATGTCACCCAGAGATCCACATATGGAGCGAATGCTTATTTGGGAGATGCTACTGTGTCCCGACGAAGAGTCAAGTAACGGGTCCAGCGGAGCATTGATGTCTCCCACCCCAAGAACCAAGGCACCTTCCGCGAAATCTTTCAGCTTAGCCAGCGTTCCCCTGAGAAATTGTGCATGCTGTCTGTTGGTTACATAAATATTTTCGAATGTGTAGAGCTTAGCGGCAATGGAGCCCTTCAGGAAGAGAAAGCGCCCCTGTAAATCACGGAAACTGTCTACTGCGAGTATGACGGTGACTCCAGCTTTACGAGTTGGGATGGTTGCAGAAGTAATTGGCTGGATAGGATCTATTCTGGAGCTTGGAGGCCGCTCCTTCTCGAAAATGTGTTTCCTGCAGCATCGCAACCGAGACATGTTTTTTTCTTCAGTTTCCGTAGGAGTTCTGCGCTCCGGAATGTGAGGACAGACAGTGGAACGCAGCGATACGTCATGGCGGTCCCGGTCTGAGGACTAGCACTCGCCCAAGATACCTCAATCACTTCTCACGCTCCCTGGCCCCTGTGACGGCCGCTCCCAGAGAGCCCCACCCCCCTGGTGCAGACGAATAAGGAGGGAGAATATAAGGAGCAGAAGAAGGGAAGTGTAGTATAAGGAGAGAAAAGAGTGAAAGGAGAAGAGTAAGAGTAGAGGAGAAAAAATAATAAATAATAAAAAAGGGAGACGAGTGCCCAAGATAGGGGGCACTCCTAACGGGACAAGAAGTGTCCCGAAACTTCCCCCTCCCTAAGTGAGAGGACTCGTGCTATGACAGGATGAGCTAGACCCCTGCCATAAAAAGCCTCACATGAGTGTGGGTCGAGGAACGCAACCCAGGCTCCGCCCAAGTATATTACAACAGTATAAATCCGTAACAGGTCCGCTCCACATCATACCCCTCGGTGTTGATATCCAGCATTAAAAAGAGCGCCATATATTAACCATAAACATGCATAAGTGACATACCAGCAAAAAGAGTATAAACGTAACAAAACTAAATTTTCCCTTTCTCCCCCCATCAAACAACCAGGCCTCCAGGGCGATTCCACCCCTCCCCAACCCCCCCCTCTGGTCCAAGCTCTCCTTGCATAGGGTAAGGCCCCTCGACTGTCGCTGCCTGGTCTCAGCCTCAGGAGTGGTGCCAATCCCCATTTTTCCTAACCCCATTCTCCCTTATCCTCCCCTCTCCTCCAGGGTTTCCCAACCTGTACACGCCCCCCCATCATCATCAATTCCTGGGTACCGCTAAGAGACTCATATGGATATGACCCCCTTCCTCTGTCAGAATTATCATGCGCCTTATGGAATTCTATGCGCCTCAACCCCTAGTAAACCACAGGTAGTGCATCATGCTGGGGTACTTGTGGTAGATCGGAATCAAAGGGTGACTATGCCGACTCTAAATATCATCTGGATTCACCTTTTTTTTTTTCACCTCCCATTTTTTTATAATTTTTTTTTTTAATATTATTTTTATTTAATTTTTGTGCTTTTTGTTTCTTTCTTTTTTAAATTTTTTTTGGGGGGAGTTGTTCGCCCTTCCTAATTTATATCCCAGAGACATGAGCTAATCAGTGATTAGTGAGGCCCCTTCCTTCTGCTTCCTAGTCTCTCTCAGCCTCCGGTATGCCTCGGATCCAGATGTTATACCTCTGACCCCTATTATCCAGGTCCTCTAGGTGCCTCCGCATAGTTAGTAGCATTTCACCCTGTCTGGACACCGCTGTGTCTGTTGCAGCAATCCTGGTAGATTGGGCTCCAGCGCCTGTATGCGGCCTACTTGGGTGGCTACTTCCATCCGGATGCCCGCCATCTCTGCTCATAGGGCATCCTGAATGGTGGTGGTGAGGGTAGGCAGGTCAGTCTTGGTAGCCATGGAAACTGCCATGTTCCGCAGTTCTTCCCCAATCCAGTCCAGCGCGGATGTTTTTACTCCCGCCAGGTAGGCCAGGGATATCGGTGCTGACCCTGAGCTCACGGCCTCTTCACTAGCTCCGTGCTGGGACTGCAGTAAGCCCTCCATCGGACCCTGCTGTTGTCCCGTTTGTGAGCCCCTTGGGGTTTGGGGGGGTTCCGGGAAGTGATTGTGACCCATTTGTCGGTTGCAGCTAATTATCAAGAGCTTTGTAGGGCATTAGTGGAGCGGAGCAATCGGATTATGTGGCCATCTTGGTCAGAGCCGAAGTCACGCCCGCCCCCCATAAAAAGTTTTATACCAACTCACAGGACATGCCCCAGAACTTACATCAGCAAAGAGATTGCACTCACAGGACTTGCCCCAGCACCCAGAACTTACCCAACACTGAGATTGCACTCACAGGACTTGCCCCAGCACCCAGAACTTACCCTGGCATTTAGATTGCACTCACAGGACTTGCCCAACGACTTTAAACAGCCTCCTGCATGCACCATGCAGAAGGAAAAATATGCTAATTATGATATTTCAGGCGGCAACAAAGGTGACATCACATTGGCCGAAAGAGTATTCTCGCACACACTTATACGGCCGCATCTGCATCCCGCCACTGCCAAATTCTTAAAGGCCACATACCATAGTGGCCCCAGGGCAGTACAGTCCTGCAACCCATTACAAACAGGATGTAGCGGAGCTGCAATATTAAATCCCAATATCTCCGCTGGTAGAATAGAGTAATCCAAGAAAAGCGCTGAATGAAGGCAATATCCCAAATCCCCCAGTAATCGGACGAAACACAGTTCTGGGAGTCAACAGAGGTTTTAATCACAAGTTCCAGTTTTTATGCAGTGCCCCATGGTTTCCTTAATCACTTTACATGGGTTTTAGTCAGGGGAATGTATGGGGGACTTCACTTGCAAGGACATTTCCCATCAGGCCATACTGTATTGGAGAGATAATTGGCCAAGAATGTATTGATAATCCCATTATCTCTCCGTACAGTAAAACAGGTACTTTAACATTAAAATCCATAACAGGCATAATACTCTTGAGGTACCTCTCCAGGCGAAAAGCAGATGGGATAAGAATCTCTCCCAGTCCTTATGGGCCTCTCCAAATGTAGGGAGCATCTGCTTTAAAGTTCCATTGAACCTTTCACATAAACCATTGGACTGAGGGTGGTAAGCAGAATTCACAATAGGCTTAATGTCACATATTTTCCAGAGTTGGTGGGTTACTTCGGCTGTGAATTATGTACCTCTATCTGAGATTATCTCCTGTGGGAACCCCACACGGGAAAAGACTTTCATTAGGGCTTCTGCCACCGTCTCTGCGTGAATATTAGAGAGGGCCACTGCCTCTGGGTACCTGATGGCATAATCTACCACGGTCAAGATGTAACAGCCTATGGGTTTGGGTAGGGGTCCTACTATGTCTACTGCCACCCTACTAAACGGCTCTATTAAAATGGGTTGTGGGCATAATTTGGCCTTGTGCCGTCACCTCTTTTGCCTACTCTCTGACAGATATCACAAGTCTGACAATACTGCCTACCATCTTTAGATATACCTGGCCAAAAGAATGCATGGGTCAGTCGGTATCATACCTATATACCCAGACAACAGAATATCATGAGCAATCCTAAGGAGTTCCTGTCGGTATTTCTGAGGTACTACCAGCTGTCTAGTAGTAACATTTACAGATCCTTCCACCACCCTTTCAGCAATACAGTATAAAACCCCTTTTCCCAGGCATACCGCTCCCCCTCTAATCCTGCCTAATCAGAGGTCACCCTATCTCGATATACCTTCAACGTAGGGTCTACCTTAACCTCTGTTCCAAATTCAGTCTGGGTATCCCAGGGAACACGAGTTATAGGGGGGACATTGTCTCTTACCTGAGCCTCAGAGTATGTGGATGAAGCCGTGGTGCAAGCCTGTTGCCTCGTGGTTATATGATGCGCCTCTTGGAGAGGGGCTTGAAGTACAAAAGCCGAAGTCATTCTGCCTAGGTCGTTCCCCAATACAACATCTGCAGGCAGTTTTTGCATCAGGCCCACTTCCACCATACCTTTCCCCACACCCCAATTCAAGTGTACTTTGGCTGTTGGTAATCGGTACATCGCTCCCCCTGCTACCCGGACTGCCACGGATCTGCCTGTGTGTGCCGAGCCTGGAGCCAGATGAGGTGCTACTAGGGTCAGAGTGGCCCTCGAGTCTCGGAGTCCTTGTACTTCTCTCCCCTCCAGGGTTACCATCTGGCGATGATGATGCAGATTGTCTGTAGCTTGTATAGACATCACATCATGTACTACTCCCAGGGGCTCTTCCGTGTGATTAAACATTAGTTCCTGGGGTGCTGGCTCCGCCTGGTAGTGTTGAGCGGCAGCTCGTGGCACTTGGTTTTGTCTTACTTGGCTCCAGGCTTGACGACTCCGGTTCTGGGTACACTCTCTCGCCATGTTTGCAGGTATGGCACTGAATGTTGGACCGCCCATTGTATTGAGACGGTGGGGGGTGTCCCCCAGTCGCTGTCCGTAGGATTGTTGTTGTGGGTGCGGTGGTAGCAGCTGTAAATGGCTGGGTGGTGGGTCGAGTATACCCTCGGTTGGGGTTGCCATGATGCCTCCTAGTGTCATAGTGCTGGTCTGCCAGCCGTGCAGCTTCTTGTGCCTCTGGTGTCAGACCGTTGAAAAACTGCTCCAACAATAGCAGCTGGCGTAACTCCTCCATGGTGGTAGCTTGACTCGCTTGTATCCACCCCTGGGAGGCTTGATCAAGCTTGTGTGCCCATTCTGCGTGGGAATCTTTATCTGGTTTGCGCAGTCCTCTAAACTTGCGCCGGTATGGCTCTGGGGTAATATCATATTTTTGCTGTCCTCTCTGGGCACGGCCCGGTATGCTTCTGCTGCCCGACCAGATAATTTGCCTGCCAGTACGGCCCGGTATGCTTCTGCTGCCCGACCAGATAATTTGATCTGCCTGCTCCAGATCATGCAGGTCACACAGTCTTTCAAAGTCTTGTAGGTACCCATCAATCTCATCTTTCTCTTCACAAAAAATTTTGAAAGCATGATGCGGTATGTTTTGCTTTACCTGCCAGGTGATTGAAGCAGCAGTAGATTATGTGCTGGAGGGTAAATCCTGCGGTCTGTGTGCCATCAAATACTCCTGCACATCTGCCATCAGCACCGTCAGCATTTCCAGAGGTACTGGATTGGGTAAGAATTCCAGCCTGGTTCTCATCTCTTTCTGGAATGGGGTCTCTTCCATGTCTGGTGGAGGTGTAGCACTGCGAGCTCTGTCTCCCTCCATCAGTTCGGCAATAATTACAGCTTTTGACATATTGCTGGCTTTCTTACCCCTGGCTTCCAATAGTTCTTTCAACGTTTGCCGTTTCAATCCAGTATAATCTGTCTCCATTCACCTTTGCGTTCGTTTCCTTGTTGCATACGAATTGCCATTCACTTTCTCGTTCGGCAGTTTCAATTGCACGAACGACGCTTTTCGGCTGTAAGGTTGGATCCCGTGGCTTGCCACCAATTGTAGCGGAGAATAAAGTAATCCAAGAAAAGCGCTGAATGAAGGCAATATCCCAAAACCCCCAGTAATCAGACGAAACACAGTTCTGGGAGTCAACAGAGGTTTTAATCACAAGTTCCAGTATTTATGCAGTGCCCCATGCAAGGGGTTTCCTTAATCATTTTACATGGGTTTTAGGCAAGCACATTTCCCATCAGGCCATACTGTACTGGAGAGATAAATGGCCAAGAATGTATTGATAATCCCATTATCTCTCCGTACAGTAAAACAGGCACTTTAACATTAAAATCCATAACAGGCATAATATATGGTTGAATTGGCCAAATTGGCTGGGACCTGAGCGCACCATCTGGTGAAATACTGCTCAGATCCCTGCTATAGAAAACGAAAGCCATGCGAATATATATTTACACGAACAGTCATGGCAATGCTAGGAAAACTTGTACTGGTTAATTTACAGAACGAACAAAGGATCCGAATGGTCTGGAAGTCCAGCGGTGCTCGTGAAGTCGAGTAGCCGATTTTAGTTCCAGGCACTCGACGACCAAACACCGCTGGGCTTTCGGGAGAAAAAGATGTCCGCCGCCACGTGTTTGGCATACGAACACGGCCACCCGCATATACCTGAATTAACTGTTACATTGTAACTATCCTTAATGGGGGACACACGACCCCCTGTGTGTGGTCTCCCATTCGGTAGTTTAATTCATTTCATAAATGGTGGATTTTAACACCGTTCGTGAAACTAACAGTTTAACAGCCTATGGCTTTCGGGCAACAAGCATCTGAATGCCATCTACTGCATACACATACAAATATTACAGCCATTCCATACACATACAAAGGACTAAAGTGGCGGTTCTGCCACACAGGAGTCTTAACTGGTGTCACTACATTTTTTTTTATAGCTAACAAATACTTTGGTTGTGACCAATGAACTCAGGCTGTCTTACAGTGTCTTGGTGATGGGGACTGTGTGTTGGGCTGTCTCGGTGTAATGGCTACAGTTTGATTGTGATATAGTTGGTTGTCTGACTGTAATGGGGCCTGTATGTGATGTATTATATTGTCTGTGTGCGATAGGAATAGTTTGTGTGTGATGTTATTGAGCTGTGTACATGTGATAAAAAAATGTGTGATAGCACTGGACTGGCTGTGTGTGATGAGAATGTGTGTGATCATTTTGTGCTGTCCATGTGTGCTTGTGTTTGTGATGGTTTGGGGGTGACTGTGTATGGTGGGACTAACTGTGTTTGTCTTTGAATGACAGGAATAACCAATGATGAGTAGATAGCATCATGTAACTGCATCTGAGACCTTTTTTAAAAGTTGGTGAAACCAAGAGTAACATAAACTAAAAAATACGTGTTTAATTCCAACAATATGTATTCCTGGGTACATTCATATAATTTACTCAAAAGCTTCACTTTGTTACTTGCTGTCTTAGTAGTAATGTCACTGTCTAAAATGTCCACTCCACTTGCTCCCTCATTCCCTATGCCAACTACAGTCTCAGACAGGTAGGTAAGGTGTCAAACCTTAGGTGTAGCTGCATTATCCGCTTCACTCGCTCCCTAGCTAGCATTCTCCAGGCAGGGTAAGATGTGACTGCACTCTCCGCTCACTTCTACCCCCCTCCCATCCATGTCTTTTCTACCCCCCTTCCATTCTCTGTTCCCCCCTCTTCCATGTCTCTCCCCCCTTCCATCCATGCACATATCTCATCTTCTATCCATATCTCTCTCCCCCTTCCATGTCTTTCTTCCCTTTAATTCATATCTTCACCCTTCCATCCATGTCTCATCGTCCATATCTCCCTTCCATTCATATCTCTCCCCCTTATGTCTACCTTCCATCCATATTCCCCCTAGTATCTCTCTTCCATCCATGTCTCCCTCTCCCGTTCCATCTATTTTCCCCTCCCCCATTCCATCCACATCTCTCCCTCTTGCCAACCTCCCCCTTCCATCCATATGCCCCCTTTCCAACCTCCCCCGACCTTGCCAATCTCCCACCTCACCCATATCTCCCCCCCTTGCCAACCTCCCTTTCACCCCCTTCCACCCATATCTCCCGCCTCTTGCTAACCTCCACCCTTTCATCCATATCTCCACCCTTTCATCCATATCTCCTACAGATCTGGGAATATTCTGGTAGAGTTTAACACAGTGAGAGAGTTTAAGCATGCGTGGGATAGGCAAAATATTGGGAAGACTAGATGGGCCGAACGGTTCTCCGTCACATTCTATGTTTTTAAGTTTCTAGCTCTGCTTTTCCCTTTTATTGAAAAATTCATTTTCAATGAACACTCCAAGCACCATAACCCTGGTAGCCCCCTCCAATTCTAAGTAGTCAACAAATTTAAAACACTTTGACTACTTACCTGAACTCTGCTGGGTGCTACTCCCTGTCAGACATCTGACAGATAGGCAGAAAAACAATGTCTCAGCTAAGCTCATTGGCTGAGAGAGATCCACTGACACTCTCAGCCAATGAGCTGGCTCTGCACTTTAGGGATTCATACGGAAAAGCTAACAGAAGCTCCTGTTTAGAGCTGTGGGCTCTCTGGCTGATGTATTGGAAGTGGCACCCGGTAAACCCCAGATAAAAGGTTAATCTATTTGAATACATACAATTGTATTGTAGTGGTTATGGTGCTTGTGGCATGTGTACAAGTCCCTACATAATGCTGCTCCAACCTACCTATCCTTCCTAATACACAAGTATGTCCCGTCGAGGCCCCTACGCTCTGCCAAAGACCTACGTATATCCTCTGTCATCCAAGATGGCCTGATATGTTTTTTTGTAGCTCTCCTTGGCTCCAATTAAACCTTTCAAATTTTTGCTGTTATTACCACAAACAGAAGCTTTGGGTTAAAGGCAAACAACCTATATACTCAGAGCATCATACTGAGCCAGAATTGAGGTGTACTGAGTAAAAGCCCCATTTCCCTCCCCTCTGGACTACTGGGATATATCCTGGTCCCCACAGGGCAGCATACGCACCTCTACAGAAGCATGCAAGCCTGTTATCTGAAACCGCATGGCATGACCAAAATGGCTGTTGCGTCATAACTTTCACGCTGCAGTGAAGACCTGGAGGCCCATGGGTGGAGAGCCCTTTTTAATACCAGGTCCAAAGCAATCTGCCAGAGATTATGGCACTGTATCAACATCTGACCTATTTACTCCTCCAGCCACACAGATATCCCACCCCGCAGAATCAGATGCCCATCCCTCTTCTCAGCTGGGGGCCCAGTTGAAGTCACCTCCACGCTGTCATCCAAACAACCAAACATCCAAGGAGTTGTCCATCTTTTGGAGAGCCTGTGGGCTCATTATTCTCTCACTGGGAAGTGGGGGATTCATGGAACTGGGGCATTAGCCTTCTTCAAGGCCTGGGGAACCAGTGGCACTCCAGATCTATTTATAACACGCAGTGGGACACTTAGCGAATCCTGAAACATCTTGTGAAGGAGAAGTTAGCCCGGTGTGGAGCTGGGCTTTCCATTATGGCCTTCTTGTGGTATCGGGTGATTAAGCCTGGTGACATCTCTATATGTTGAGAGCACATTCTCAGTCTATTCTCACTGTACCAGCTTTTACTATCACCTAGGTTATCTTACAGGGACGCTGCAAACCCCTAGAGCATTTTAGCTTGCTGAAAAGCTTTATGTGTGAAGAGTGTGTCCTATTGGTTTCATTTTGCAAAAAGTGCAGAATTCAAGAGGAATTGACACTTTTATAAATTAACCTAGTTACACCCCTCTGGCTTTTCAAACAGATAACAGGTCATTTTACTTACTGGTTTGGTTAACTTGCTTGCACTGAACTCGAGATGCAGAAATTGCCCAGAGCATGTTGTAAGTAATCATACCACCTCTGTTGGGTTAATATTCCATGCATATTTAAACACATTTCATTAATTAACCATATTTTGACAATTAAATAATGAATACATTCTACATTATGTAACCATATTTTTACAATGGACAGTGAATCAAATCCACTAGCAGCTTGGAGTGTTCCAATATCTGAGTAAGGACGAATGATTGGAATAATTCCAGAACATACTACATTTTAGGGTGCTAGGTCGCTGGGTTGTATAGATCTGCAATTGTAAAATATATATAAAGTATATAAAACCAAATATATCCCATGCTAGTATTTAGGTCTTTAGTAACCAGATTGTGATCAAGGTGTAAAAAAATATCCATCCTTAAAAGTTTAAACGTTTTCAAACTTTTTTCCTATATATGTGAGCATGTACAGATAATGTGTCTTCATATGCATTCTTTCAGCACACTGCTATTGAAAAAGAAGAGTATAAAAAAAGTTGGCTTTAGATGTGAGGGCAGAAAATATTCTCATAACCACCATACATTATTCTAATAAAACAGTATAGTGTGAGACTTAGCAGAGTCTACTCAAGCAGAAGTCATCTGCTGCAAACCACATGGGGAAGGGAAACACAAGTAGTACAAGAGGTGACCAGCGAGAAGGGTGAGCAAACAGCCTTTTAACAGAGTAGGAAGATGGTGGCTCTCAAATACAAGAAACATCACACGCAGTCCTCTCCATTTAGAGATCCAAGTCTAGTCAACCTAGTGGTGTACACATCCCTGGCTCACAGCACTTAACAATAACCCTGTCCCTAACTTAAATTGACAGTCATTGAAGTGGATATAGTGCTTGAAGCAACCCAATGATACAATGTACCCATACCTCAGTTTCCACCAGGGGGTTTAGTTAATACAGATTGGAACATTAGCCATACCAATGCATACCATCAATGGGTGGTTATGATAGGCTTAGAGTGCCAATCTAAAATTCTCAGCCTATAACTGCTACCTGTTACTGCTCAGGCTAAAACAAAAGAATGGGGGCTGCGCAACAAGTTGCAATGTGCACCCAAAGTTCTACTCAAATTTAATCGAAGGATATATACAAACAAGCAGATATTTTGGGTATTCCCTTTTTCAATGCAACTTGTCTTTAACTTCTGCTTGTTTGTATATCAAATAAAGTGTAGTAAATAATGTTATTCACTACACTGTCAGAGCAACAATGGGAGGTGCAGTGGGACAGCACCTGTGATCTTCAGTGTTTATGGTGCCTCAATTGTCTCTTTAACTGAGGCATTAAAAAACAATACACCTAATTGCCCCCTTTTAAATTTATATTGTTACAAATGGTGCAATATTGATACTGAGTCAGTTTCAATGTAAATTCATTACAAAGGCACCAATTCACATTTGGATTCTTTTAAATAGGCCATTTTAGCAGCTCAATTTCAAATGAAGAACCTTGAAAAGCTGCTTTTCCTGTAGTTTGGTTAGAAATAGGTGAGTAGTTCATCCGTCCTGAAACTTCTTTTTGCTGTCGTACCACTTGCAGTACAAATAATAAGATGACTCATCCACCTCCCAGGTAGAAGAAGAAATAAAATAAGGAACCTTTGTCACCTATGGTACATAATTTATGTTCTACCTCAATAGGAGAGGAATTCTTTTTTATTTTTTCCTTCTCTCAGGTTCATTGTATTTGGTTTCTTTATGCTGTATCTTAAATCCTACCACCCACGGTTTCGAGCAGACATTATTACACAGTTTGAGATTGACATATATATGTGTTGAGTTTATAAATGTCTTCAGGACCTCATTTTGGAGTTATTTTCACCTAACACACTTGATCACTATTTTTCTTTTATATTATATGACATTTTTTTAGGTTAGGGCTAGTGTTAGTATCAGTGTAATGTAGGAATTAATGGTTTGTTTTTGAGTACTCCAGGGTTAATGTTTAGTGATAGTGTTAGTTTAGTGTGGGGGTTAATGTTCAGTAATAGTGTAAGTGTGGGGGTTAATGCTTAGTGATAGTGCTAGTTTAGTGTAGCGGTTAATGTTTAGTGTGGGGGTTAATGTTTAGTGATAGTGTTAGTTTAGTGTAGGGGTTGATGTTTAATGATAGTGTTAGTTTAGTTTAGGGGTTAATTTTTAGTGATAGTGTTAGTTTAGTGTGGGGGTTAATGTTTAGTGATAGTGTTAGTTTAGTTTAGGGGTTAATGTTTAGTGATAGTGTTAGTTTAGTGTGGGGGTTAATGTTTAGTGATAGTGTTAGTTTAGTGTAGGGGTTGATGTTTAATGATAGTGTTAGTTTAGTGTGGGGGGTTAATGTTTAGTGACAGTGTTAGTTTAGTGTAGGGGTTGATGTTTAATGATAGTGTGGTTAATGTCCCGAACTGTTCACCGAACGGCTCGCGAACGGTTCGCCACGAACGGTTCGCCACGGACTCATCATTGAGTAAACTTTGCCCCTGTACCTCACAGTCAGCAGACACATTCCAGCCAATCAGCAGCAGACCCTCCCTCCCAGACCCCCCCCCCCCTCCTGGACAGCATCCATTGTGAAGCTGCATTCTTAGTGAGCTGTCCAGGAGGCGGGAGGGTCTGGGAGGGAGGGTCTGCTGCTGATTGGCTGGAATGTGTCTGCTCACTGTGAGGTACAGGGTCAAAGTTTACTCAATGATGAGTCCGTGGCGAACCGTTCGTGGCGAACCGTTCGTGAACCGTTCGGCGAAAAGTTCGGGACATCACTAGTAGTAACGTTTGTTAGGGTAGTGCAGGTGTTAATGTGTTAGGAAAGTGAAGGGTTAAGGGGAAAATATGATTGTATGAGCTGCACTGGAAAAAAAATATCTCAGTGCCACCTGAGATTGGTGGGAGTTACAGTGCTAGTCGGTGGCTGTTTTATTCCATTTCAGGTACTGCTTGAGAGTGTAACTCTTACTAATCTTGGGCAAACTACTACATGTATGTCCTGTATATATATATATATATATATATATATATATATATATATATATATATATAGAGTATATAAGTAAATTGGTGAAATTGAATTAAATTAATGGTCTTCATCACATTCTTAACACTATATGTGGACCAGGTTGGTATGTTTTTAGCCAGTTCAGCAACTGCTGACATTGGTGAACTAGGAGGGTGACTGACATAACTTGGGAATGATGTTAGTGTGTTTTTCATTTCCTAATATTCTAGCTGCTGCTGGCCTGCCCCATTAGCAGGCGGATTAGGAGACCTATGGATAAACTAGATTTAGGATTATGTTAGGGATTGAGGGGAGAGTAATCACTGTTTTCTGCTAATTTGCTAATTTGTCCAAAGATTTTGAAAGTAATTGTCACAGAACTAAGCTTGACATATGCATAGTGGCCTTTTTTGGCATATGACTAACAAATCACCCCCAAGATCCCAAAGACACCTTTTTTGGGGGGCAATTATCACAGTTTTAATAATATAATTAATACTTGAAAATGTTAAGGTCATTGTCCACATATTAAACATAACATATCAAGACCAACTCCTTTAACAACACTACCCCAGATAATGACACACATCACAATAAATAAAACCACATTATAACATATAATTAAGATATAAACATAACCATTTACACCAAGTGCATGATTTTCCAGTTTTTTTTCCATGTAAGGGTATGCTGAGATATACCCTACACACAAGGTTTGGAACTATCAACGAGCTTGAACCTACCAATACCCTTTCAAACCTTTCTATGCCTGTCTCCTAGCAATGTCAAGGCCCATCCCCTTAGCTGCACTGCTCCATAGGCTACAGTCAGGACAATTTTTTCCCGAGACATAACGGTTTGCTTATCAAATCAGAGAATTGCACATCCCATTCTTTCCATCAGCAGCCAACAACAGGTACTCTGCCTGGCACCCACTAATGTCAAAATTGTGGGCAGAATCTGCTAGCCAATGGCAATCATATAGACATCAATAATAGGGTTATTCACTAAACACCATAACAATTTTAGATAAGTGAGCAATAATCTGAAGTACCTCTGGCAACTGGCAGTGCTGGCTAACATTTAAAAAAAAAAAAACTCATGGCAGTGCAAGGGTTAACAATGTGATGGCTGGGCCCAGCTTGCTCTCCAGACGCCGTATTCAAATATATAAATGAAAACTATTAATTGGGCATGTCACATTTTATACCCCACGGAAGCCAATAGATTTTGCAGTCTTAATGACCCAGTACTGCAGCAAATGCTATTGCCCCATTCAGTATGGGGCTATTTTAACTTTAGTGAATAATCCTGTATGAGTATTTATATCTAAGCAATTCCTCTCTGTCAAAAAAAAGAGGTGCCAAGGCAGGAAGGAACTCTGTGCTTGCTGGTGCAGAGCTCTCTTGTTCCTCTCTAAAAACCAGAGAGTGTAGAGTATCTACCTTATATCCCTTCTGACTACCAACAGATATGAGCAGCAGTTTCAGTAATGTTTTTCTATATTTAAGGTTTAGATAATTTGCCATGTCTGCTGATGAGTATGTCAATGAATCTACTCTGAGAGTCATCATTAAATATGCAACTAATGAAACGTGTAAGACACACATATATGGAACAGAATGAGCACTGCTTGTTTCAGAAAATAACAATAAAAAAAAAATCTGCTTGCAAGATAGTATACACATTCCTGTTACCCCTCTTTACCCAGTCCTAATAAAAATTAACCCCTTCCCTATCAGTTAATCACTACCTTCAGTGATCAAAATACAGATCACAGTATTATACTGTGATCTGATTTTTTTTAACCCCTTAGGGTTAACTTTTATTTTTTTTTAACCCTCAGTGGTTCAATTTATTTCATTAATTCATTTAAATATTTTAAAATTATATATTTTGCTAGATGGGGTGTATGGGAGTTATGGAAAATTGGGGAATTTACTGTTAGTGCTGCTTACTGCTAGTAAGGGGTTAACGGTAAAAAAGTTTTTAAAAATGTCAAATGTGTAAAACAAGTTTAGGATAGTTTAAAAAATGTAATAAGCAAAAAATTACTTAGTATTAGTAAATTGTGCCCCTACTCGCTATACCGCAAGTAAGGACATGTCTATAAAACAGTGAGCAGCCAGTGGCTGCTCACTGTTAAAAAAAATATATAAAAAAATGGGTCCCCCCTCCCGAGCCCCCACCCGTGACGCGCGAGTGGGGGGTTTTAAACTAAAGGGGGGGCTATTGCCCCCCCAGGCCTCCACCCCTGAGCGGCGGGTGGGGGCGCTGAAGTAAAATAATGGGGGGACCTATTGCTCCCCCCCCTGAGCGGAGGGTGGGGGCCCTAAATACTAATTGGGGGGGGCCCTGATGTCCTTCCCCCCTGGCCCAAACCCCTGAGCATTGGGTGGGGGCCCTAAATAAAAAAAATAACCCCCTCCTCCCCCGGGTGATTAGGGGTCCCCAAACCCCTAGTCACCCCCCTTCCCCAAAAATTTACCCCTACCTACCCCCTCACCCTAAAAATAATGAGGGGGGACCATTTAACTGAAAGTACCTGAAAAAAAGAGAGAAAACTTACCATTTGATGTTTCCTTTCTTCTAAAATCTTCTTTTTTCAGCCCCAAAAAAGGCCAAATAAAAAGCCATAATAACCAACGCATTTAAAAAAAATAAAAAATAAATAACCGAAAGCCCCCCCAAAAAATCCATCTTCACCCATGCAGGGCTCCGCGCAGACTGAGCTCTGCAGGGCGGGGGAAGGCTTATAAAGCCTTGCCCCGCCCTTCAATTTGGCTCAGAGCACTCTGATTGGTGGGTTTAAGCCAATCAGAGTGTTATGAATCAAATTACACAGCGTGGGAGAATTCCAAAGAACTTTCCCACGCTGTGTAAAATGACACAGAGCACTCTGATTGGTGGATTTCAAACCAACCAATCAGAGTGCTGTGACAGGTAAATGTAGAGACCTGTCAGTCTCTTCATTTACCTGTCAGAGCACCCTGATTGGATGGCTTAAACCCACCAATCAGAGTGCTCTGAGCCTAATTGCAGGGCGGGGCAAGGCTTTATAAGCTCAGTCTGCCCTGCAGAGCTCAGTCTGCGCGGAGCCCTCCATGGGCGAAGAAGGATTTTTTTTTGCGCCTGTTTTTTATTTTTTTTAAGTGCGTCGGTTATTATGGCTTTTTATTTGGCATTTTTGGGGGCTGAAAAAAGAAGATTTTAGAAGAAAGAAAACATCAAATGGTGAGTTTTATTTATTATTTTCAGGTACTTAGTTAAATGGTCCCCCCTCAGTATTTTTACGGTGAGGGGGGTAGGTATGGGTTCATTTTTTGGGGGAAGGATGTGACTAGGGGTTTGGGGACCCTTAGTCACCTGGGGGAGGGGGTTATTTTTTTTATTTAGGGCCCCCACCCACCGCTCAGAGGTGGGGGCAAGGGGGGAGGACATTAGATCCCCCCCTAATTAGTATTTAGAGCCCCCACCTACCGCTCAGGTGTGGGGGCCAGGGGGGAGGACATTAGGTCCCCCACTAATTAGTATTTTTGGGCCCCCACCCACCGCTCAGGGGTGGGGGCCAGGGATGAGGACATTAGGTCCTCCCCCCTCATTCTAATTTAGGGCCCCCACCCACCGCTCAGGGGTGGGGGCCAGGAGGAAGACATTAGGTCCCTCCTAACTAGTATTTTAGGGCCCCCACCCACCGCTCAGGGGTGGGGGCCAGGGGGGCAGGGGGAAGGACATTAGGTCCCCCCCCTAATTAGTATTTTAGGTCCCTCACCCAACCGCTCAGGGGTGGGGGCCAGGGGGGAGGACATTAGGTTCCCCCCCAATTAGTATTTAGGGCCCCCACCCACCACTCAGGGGTGGGGGCTAGGGAGAGGACATTAGGTCCCCCCCAGTTAGTATTTAGGGCCCCCACCCACCACTCAGGGGTGGGGGCCAGGGTTGAAGACATTAGGTCCCCCCCATTACTTTACTTTAGGGCCCCCACCCGCCATTCAGGGGTGGGGGCCAGAGGGGGCAATAGGTCCACAGGCTGCTCACTGTTTAATAGACATGCCCCTACTCGCGGTATAGTGAGTAGGGGCATAATTTACTAATACTAAGTAATCTTTACTTAGTATTAGTAAATTTGGCTGAAAGACCAATTCAGGTCTTTCAGCCTTTTAGTAGATAGCTCCCTAATACCGTGGAAATTAGGGAGTTATCTACTTATTCATTCCTGTAATTACACTGACTGGCCAAGTAACTTACATTTTATATGAATGTATGTTACTTGATTGTTGTAAGTGTTGCAAATGCTTACAGCTAATTCCTGGCTATGTTTGTATACTTTTTATTTAAAATTGTATTCAGTGTAACATTCTTCTTCTTCCACTGGGTAAGTATATTAGTACTTAGGCAATACTGTGCTTCAGAACTTCGGCACTTCAGCACTTCGGAACTTCGGCACTTCGGAAATTCTGTAATTTCGGAACTTCGGGACCTCGGTAATTCGGCACTTCGGCAATTCGGCAATTCGACTATTCAGACATTCGGAAGTACCCGAATGTCCGAATTGTCCGAAATTCGTCCGAATTCATATTTGGCCCAAAACGAATTGCACATATCTAGTCTCCTCCTTTACTGTGTTGATTCCCTTTATGTATTTAAATGTTTCTATCATATCCCCTCGTCTCATCTTTCCTCCAAGCTATACATGTTAAGTTCCTTTAACCTTTTCTTGTAAGTTTTATCCTGCAATCCATGAACCAGTTTAGTATCCCTTCTCTGAACTCTCTCTAAAGAATTAAATCCTTCTGGAGATACGGTCTTCAGTACTGCGCGTACAATATTCCAAGTGAGTTCTCACAAGCTAACGTGTTATAAAACTGAATCACGCACGCTTAAATACACTAATGAGTTCAAACACAGAAACAAACGTCCATAAAATGTACCCCTGTATTCACACACTGATAAATTGTATAGATGCATCTTGCTTTCACATGCATTTACCGCCCCTCCCCCCCAAAAAAAAACCCCCCAACACATTTTCACATATAGTCTGATACTGCATTTACACAGAATGGTTTAACACACAAATATGTTTGCATACCTGCATTCACAAATATATAGACATTCCTAAATATGTTTTTTTTTTGCATCCTTGCATAACATTCAAATAGAAAAATGCGCTTCACAAACCCTGACGCAAACATACATTCAAGGCTTTTACTACATTTTTGTATTTATGCATAGCTGCATAGCATTAACAGCAAATTCACACTGACATAATATGCAAAGATATGCATCCACACTGGCACTAGATGCACAAATAAGCACCAACACTCTGAAAATATGCACAATCAAACATGCATCCAGGCAAGTGCCTTCCCACTATGTAAGCAAATATTGACAGGAGTTTTTTTCACAGAACTGGAAATTATGGAGGACTGACAATGGAATTACATATTGTATGTCAAAGCAAACAAATTGGAAAGATCCTGCGACTCCGCTTGTCTTCACCTCTGCTATTTTGTCTTAAAATGTTAATTTATTGTCAAATATTCAATATTTATTACTAAGCAACTGTAAGTTTTTTTTTGTTGTTTTTTTACTAAGTAGTTGCTTGTAGTGAAATAAAAAAACAAATTGCATAATTCAAGCCATTAACAGACATAACGGCTATTGGAAAAATTGGAGAAAATCCAAAATTCCAAATCTGTAACGTTTGTCTTAACTTTGTAGTTCGTTTTTTATATTCACTACACTGAATTCATTAGTTTAGGGAATAAGCCACAGATTTGTAGGCAAATATGACTAATTTAGCAAAATACTCGATTTCAGCTCAGGCACAGCTTGCCCATTTTAGCCTACATTTTGCAATTTGCAGTGTAATTCACTACATTTTGCTGAATATTTGTATATTTATATGATGCAGGCATGGCTGTAACGTAGACAGCCTGTTGCTGGGTTCATTGAGTAATTACCCAGGGAGGGAGACTCCTCAGTCCCATCTCCACAAACCTCTGTGCTACACCTCTGTACAGCAAAATCAAATTGTAAGCAGGTTTTTTTTTTTGTTTTTTTTTAGAAATTTCACACATATATCATTAATAATGCATGGTCGGTATTTGCATGGTGGATGGAAATCCTACTTTTTTTTTGGTCTTAATGTGTCATTCAAATTCTATGTTTCTTTTTTAATATGTATTGGCTAGTTTTTAGCAGCACAATATTAACATATACTTATTGACATAAGTGCTCTCACTTGTTTCAAATATACAGATGGATATAAGACATTAAGATAGATAGACAGACAAATAAATACTATATAGACAAAGAATATTTTTTTTCTATTTTATATCTATTTCCATGCATGTATTATTTTTGCAGTATTGTATAGTTTTAGTCATTTATCGATATGACATACAAAATTCTCTAATTTCACCTGAAGAAAAATCTTTATCAAAAGGACAAACCATAAAAATCACAAAAAACCCCCACAAAAGTCACAAATAATTTTCATTATAATTAATTTTAAAAAAACTAAAGATTTATGATAGCTTAATCCTCCTAACGTGACTTTCTTAACCATTGTTTTTAAATAATGTCACATTATAAGCACAAAGAATAAACTAATGTAATACTTAAAAAAAAATAGCTGATTACAACTAATAAAAAAATGCAATTAGTTTTAAATAGCACACTATAAGAGGTAATTAGGAGTGAATAATTTATTACTAAATTTAATTATTTTAATGTCACATTTTTCAGCAGACATAGCCTCTTTTTATTTAGCATTTTGCATGATTGATTTGTAAGAAATGTGTTCTAGAGGTTTGCGGTTAGTTGATAACCAAGTTGACCAAATGACTGAAATGAATTTGTGCACAAGTCTGTTGCAAATTGTATAAATGATGTAGCCATCGGGATTCAATATATTGCAACTCAGTTGTCGATGAATCATGAATCATTGTTTAACAAATAAAACTATACCTCTATATGTCAAATTTAATAGAACCTGTCCTTGTATATAGATATTCTTGGTGTCATTTAGCATTGCAATCTGATACAAAATAAATTTAAAAAACCAGTCAATTCTCCCAACATTTCATTTCTTTTCCCTATTCTACAGAAAAACTAGTTAATGAAAAACTCAACCTATATATTCTCTGCATACATACACTGAAAGCCTTTTCATGCATGACTGGCTCTCTTATCGAATATACCATTATTGCCAAATACAGCCACATATTTGAAATGCTACATGCTAAACAGAAAGTGTAGTTTTACAAAAAAAAAAAAAAAAAGGAGCAGTGTATTTAAATATTAGTTCTACATATAATACAACAATTAGTTCCTTGCAGTTTTTCTGCTGGAATGTGAGATGCTGGATGTGATACAACCACAAATAATTTATACCCTGAATATTTCTGTAATAGATACATGAACACATAAACAAGATATGTTTTCCTTGAACAGCAATCTACACATTATATCATATCCAGGTGTTATGAAAAAGAACACATGAACATTATTTACATTGATCACAGCATAATTTGCATATTATCTACTACAGTGTCCACTAGCAAGCATTTGCTTAGGAAAGTCTCATCATACCTGTTAGGGAAACCATGAAGCCTTCAAATTCGCACATTGTCTTGCCCAGTTTGAAGTATCCAATCACATTGTTGAAGAAGCTAACACTGCTGCCAAATATTGTGACTAGAAGGTTGGCTACTGAGAGGTTAACCAAAATATAATTTAGAGGGGATCTCAGCTTCTTGTATCGGATGGTGACTACTATAACTAGGCCATTGACAATGAATGCCAAGAAAACCACTATACCCATGAGCACAGCAATCATCATATAGGTACTGCGAGGGGCAATGTGAGGCCATTGCGGGCCATCAAATGGTCCCAACGCCTCATACGCTGACTTATTGGATGGGGAATGCATTTAATATAGGCTTTGGGTAACAAACGTATTTGCAGCATACAAGGAGATAAAGCAAAGAATAGCTGGACACCAGTGATGCAAAAAACCTCTTTATAAAGTCCAAGAGGTTTACTAGTCCAAAGAGGATCTTTTTATTAAAACACTGTAAGCTTCCTTACTATGGGGTTTTTGTAATCCACTCTCTTTTTCTTTACTTAAACAGATCATTAGAAACTAGAAGCTATTGTGCAAGGTGACCTCCCTATAAGGCAAATAACCTAATTAACAAAGTAAGACTATACAAATGTTGTGCTTTTCTTAACAAGATCTGTGTGCACAAGAGGATTGAATGAGATGTGGTACAGTAGCAGTCTCTAGCACACACATCTCATGCAACATGAAACATATTTACAATGTTCATTTATTTTATACAGCTATTCAATAATGCAAGTGAATGCATTGTATTTCTTCTTATGGTAAATTATGGCAGATTGGGAAATATTTTGTCATTTCAAACTGCATGCACTACGTAAACAGTATTTATTTATTTATGTATGTTTATATAAATTTATTGCATGACTAGTAATGTCGCATTGGGCAGTAAACACCATAAGCTTATTCTATTTATTATTTAAGCTTTTTTTATTTATAGCATTTTCAATAGAATAAAATTAGGGATCAGTAACAACTGCTAGGTTATTAGATTAAATACCATAAAAAGTTGTCAGTTTCATATTACGAAGCAGTGTGCTTCCTAATTATAAAATATATAATTAAGGGTTATGACATAACTAGCAATATTTTACTGTCATAATCCTAAATTTTAAATATCATCTAATATAAAAGATACATAATGCAGAGTCTTGTGTTTGTGGGATATAAAGCTCATAAGTTGAGGAGACACTGTGTGTAAATAATATTGTAACTCATTGCTACAGGGAGTGTGGGGGGGGGGGGCGAGGTTGATGGCTGAGATTTCTCTGGGAAAAGCAAGTCTTATGACTTGACTGGTGTGTGCATATCATCGAAGGAAAAATTAATTCCCAAGTTTATCAAGACATTTTGCAGGAGAACTTAAGGCCATCTCTCTACCAGCTGAAGCTCAACAGAAGATGGATGTTGCAACAGGACAATGACCCAAAGCATAGAAGTAAATCAACAACAGAATGGCTTAAACAGAAGAAAATACGCCTTCTGAAGTGGCCCAGTCAGAGTCCTGATCTCAACCCGATTGAGATGCTGTGGCATGACCTCAAGAAAGCGATTCACACCAGACATCCCAAGAATATTGCTGAACTGAAACAGTTCTGTAAAGAGAAATGGTCAAGAATTATTCCTGACCGTTGTGCATGTCTGATCTGCAACTACAGGAAACGTTTGGTTGAAGTTATTGCTGCCAAAGGAGGTTCAACCAGTTATTAAATCCAAGGGTTCACATACTTTTCCCACCTACACTGTGAATGTTTACATGGTGTGTTCAATAAAAACATGGCAACATTTCATTCTTTGTGTGTTATTAGTTTAAGCAGACTGTGATTGTCTACTGTTGTGACTTAGATGATGATCAGATCACATTTTATGACCAATTTGTGCAGAAATCCATATCATTCCAAAGGGTTCACATACTTTTTCTTGCAACTGTATATGTACTGTTTTATATATATATATAACAAAAAGCATGGTCCGGCACTCATTCTTCAGTTTTACTTGCCAAGGTTTCCATCTCCAGCTTTTTTACAATACATACACTCGAAGAAGGGCACTCACTAGTTTTAATTTGCAAACTTTATTCACCAATGTTCAGTTACATTGAAAGTCCAGATGAGGACTGAAACGATGATACTGTAAAGTTACTGAATGATGGAAGCGATGGGAATCCTCCATATCTGAGCCACCACATCTTGGACTTAGGGGGTCACCCTGCAAGAGAGCAGATGGGTGAAAACCAATATGGAGAGCAGCCAGAGCTTTGGGAAATGAGTCACCAGAGAAGAGCTTAGCCATGCTTTTAGTCCCTTAGGCCAGTGGTGTATCCTGGTTTTGTGCTGCCCTAGGCAGGACAAAACTCAGGCGCCCCCTCACCCTGTGCCACCCCCACCCAACCCTTCCCCCGCCCCGCCTTCTAAATACACACACACACATTCACTGACAGATACGCATACGCTAGCTAACAGAAACACACACTCACTAACAGACACTCACTAACACACACTCACTCACTAACAGACACACACACTCACTAACAGACACACACTGACACACACACACACACACACACACACACTAATAGACACACACACACACACTCACTAACAGACACTCACTAACACACACTCACTCACTAACAGACACACACACTCACTAACAGACACACACACTGACACACACACTAACAGACACACACACACTCCCTCACTAACAGACACACACTGACACACACACTAATAGACGCACACACACACACACTAACAGACACACACACACAAACAGACACACACACTAACAGACACACACTCACACACACACTAACAGACACACACACTTACAGACACACACACACACTAACAGACACACACACACACACACACACTAATAGACACACTCACAGACATATACACACACTCACATTAACATATTTTTTTTATTAAATCCCCCCCCCTCCTTACCTTGGGAATGCTGGGGGGTTCCCTCTCTTCCTGGGGTTTAGTGGCTGCTGGGCGGTCGGGGGGTGCTGGCGGGCGAGCACTTCCTCTGAGCTGTCTGCTCAGCTCCCTCGCGCGCCGCAGAGTGAGGCTGGGAGCCGAAATATGACGTCATCAACCCGGCTCCTCTGCGGTGCGTGAGGGAACTGAGCAGACAGCTCAGGTGAAGAGCCCCCGCGCCAGCCGCCCGCCCAGCGCGCCCGCCAGCCCAGCATGTCAGTTAGCCGCAAGGCTAACAAGGCATTTGCCCTGGGCATTTGGGGGGCGGCTTTTTTTTTGCCGCCCCCTGGAAAATGCCGCCCAAGGCAAATGCCTTACTTGCCTCGTGGCTAAAATGCCCCTGCCTCAGACATTCTGCCCTGCACACAACCAGCAACTGAAACAGACAGAAGCAGCTTGATAAAGACTTCTTAGTAGGTCGAAATGTTGCATTGCCTTTTTGATCCAATAAATCTGCCTGTGGCTTTAATTCCATGAGTGACTGAAGATTTATGGAAGAAAAAAAACAGGACTCACCTGATAGACATAGATGGGGGCCACAAGACACAAGCAGAGGTGGTCACCCTCAAATGCAAGATTAGAGGGGCTACCCTCAGGTTCAAGAGCAGACCCTCACTAGGATGAGATGGAGGTTAACTGCACAGGGCGAATAGCCTAAACACTCAGGGCCCAATGCAGATTCTGGGCTCACCCAGAAGAGATATAATCCCAATTGGGTCCCAGTAGGGACCTGAGCAGCAGGAGGAGTATAATCCCAGCATCAGTGGCAAGGAAAACAGGGGAGCATCACCCACCCAAGGCTTAGCAGACTGGGCAAAATAAACCTTAAAAAAAAAATAGGAGCTGGTAGGAAGGCTGGCAATACAGCTCCAAGAAGCTTTGAAGAATACAGGTTCCCACATAACAGCTCTGCCTCGTGATACAATATGGCCTATGCAGTATTTGCAGGAAAGCCACAGCTTGGCATGCATGTTGGCCAACAGTCAAAAACCAGAGCAAAAGCATGGGAGCCAAAGAGGGATGCAAGGGAGCAAGGCAGGAGGCTAAAGAGGGAAGGTAGGAGGAATCAGGGAAGTAACACGACTACGGAGCCCAACACAATCATGGGTTTAAATAGAGACTGTGGACTATTGGAATGGCGGATCTGAGTAAGCTGAGTCATTGGTGAAACGCGTCATCACGCCATCACGTTCTGCACGCTGGTCAGAAGCCCCGCCTCCCGGAATGAGCGTTGGCACCTAGTTTTCTGATCCATATAGAAACCGGCAACTAACCCCATATTCCGGCTAAATTTCATGAGGAGAAGCTATATGTAGGGTCGGAGGAAGCCTGTGGAGGCGGGCGAAACGCGCAACACACAAGTCACATGAGGGGTGAACCCAGAAGCGGGTCACGTGATCGGAACAAAACCATGAAATGATTCTGATTCTTTGCTGTTTTATATGCTTTTATGTGGGTAGCTTTGCGAGCATAACTTTAGTTATTCAATAAATTGCTTTTGATATTATTCAATTGGAGGTCCTGCCCTTCTCTACCCTCTATTTCATACAGCATCATCAAGCTGTTAGTGGATACACTGTCTGGAGTGACCTTCAGTGTGGGGATATCCCCTCCCCAGAGGAACGTTGAAAACCCAGAGCCAGGGGTGATAGGGCTCTGGTACACGTGAGTTCTTTCCCTTATACTCCCCCAATTTTTCTTTTGTGCTTATTCAGATAGTCTGCACTATTATTTGTCCTTTTTTATACTTACAGACTAATTTAGCACTTTTTTTTGGTAACTATCGATTCTTGTGTATATTTGTGTGTATCACTATTGTACGTGCTGCCATATTGCCTGTATCACATCCCATAGCGCTTACACACTACTGGTTCTTTTTTGTATATGTAGCACATGTCTACCTGCCAGCCTGCGTGTTTTTAAAGTGAAGCTGAATACCACAGTAACACAGTATACCACATCTGTCACTCTGTTTATATTGAAGAGCCTATACAGTTAGAGCAGGCTTCACTTGTGAGTTGAATATACACTTGTGAGTTGAAGTGCACTTTTACACAGTTTGTCTTGTGGCTCACTTTATGCTCCCAGTTCTAAAAAAATACATATATATATATATGTATATATATATGCACTTTATTATCGAGTGGAATACATTGTAGGCACTCTGCAATATATTCGGTGTTTTAAAGATACAGCACACTTTATTTGTATAATTTTTTCTATTCATGTGTTTCTCTAGCTTTTACACATTATAAGGTGCAGCTTATATTATATTTTTAGCTTATTTCTATTTAATTTTAAGCGCCATACTTTTACTTGTTTTTCTATTATGTGCTATTCTGTGACTCTGTGCAGATTAAACTGGGATACAAAAGGTATTCTAGATGAGTTGTTCATCTTTTTTCTCTTAGATGTCAAAAGAGAATCTCTCTCTTTCCCAAGTATTCTATCCCTTTCTTTATCCAGAAGTTTGACTGGATAGCCTCGATTAAGAAATTTTTAAGAAATCTCTCCCAAAAATCCTGAACATATAATAGGGTCTGATACATTTCTTACTACCCCATTGACTCAATGGTTCTCTTAAGGTGACAACTTGTGTATTCCAATAAATTGTCTCTGTCAATTGTCTTTGAGAATATGTCTGTGGAGAAACCATTTCCCTCACGTACAATCCTCAAATCCAGAAAACGGATAGCCGTGTCGCTGCTATCCATAGTAAATTGGATCTCTCCATGTACCATATTCATTTGAATAAAAAATGTCTCAAGTTCCTCTTTGGTCCCACACCATATGCCAAACACATCATCGATGAATCTCCACTCACATGCTCATGCACTATGTATAAATCATGCGCATATACGTGTGCGGTTTTGAACCTATCCGTGAATAGGTTGGTGTATGATGGGGCCATATTAGATCCCATTGTGGTACCTAAAGTTGTCTATAATGACTGTCTCCAAATAAAAAATAGTTGTTATGCAATAAAATATCCAAAATGCTCATAAAATTCCATTTGCTTTTGGGTATAGTCCCTTTGATTGAGAGTGTTCCTAATGGGACGCAAACCTCCTTCATTTGGAATGGAAGTATATAAGCTACTTTTCGTATAAAATCACTGCTATCTAATATATAAGATTTACATTTTCCAACAAAAGGTTGTAAAACTTTATCTAAAAAAATAGGAAGAGGTTGCATGACTGATTCGGTACATGCCACGATGGGTCTACCTGGGGGGGTTCATCAATCGTTTATGTATTTTTGGTAATAAATAAAATGTAGGTGTAACTGGATGTTCTTTTATTAAATATACTTTAAATGTCTTATCTATAATTTCTTCTGAATATGCTTCCTCTACCATATTTTCCTTATTAGGGTAGATGTCTAAACCCCTGTACAAACCTCATAAATTTCTCTGTCACTCAATTGTCGTTCTACCTCTTTAATATAATCTGTCCTGTTCATGACCACCACAGCACCTCCCTTATCAGCCAGTTTGATAATAAGGCTGTGATTATTTTTCAAAGCATACAACGCTTCTCGTTTTTCTTTTTTCAGATTAGGGGGGCAGTGGTGGTCATGAGCAGAAGAGCATAATATTTTAATTTCTTGATGAATGAGTTTTGAAAAAAGTTCCACTTCTGGTGAATGTGCAGGATTGAAGGTGCTGCGACTCCAAAGATTAAAATCCTTGGTAGCCAAATCATCTGCAGTTTGACTAGACTCTCCCATTGATTTTACTATCAGAACTAAACAGGTTGAATTACCGATCCCTGCTCACTTTTTAGAACAAAAACACACAATATCACAATTACGCTTCCAGGTTATAGACCAAGCATTACCATTAAGAAGAGGTGGTGACTGTGTGGGTCAACTGAAAAAAAGAGAGGCTTACCCGAAAGGCCAAAGAATTCATTGTGAATCCCTATCTGTGAATTTATGTCAACAGATAGGTGTCGCTCTCTTAGTTGGTTTAACTCTTATTTGCATAATGGATATTTATATTTAGTTTTTTTACAATTTTACTTTAACATCAGGGACTTAGTCTCAGTATGTTAATTTATTGTAATAATCTTCTAATGAATAATAGGTCTTATAAATAGGAAGATTATATATACAGGTTATAATCTGGAAATTGATTTAAATATATTTAAACTGACTCAGATTGATATTGTTTGTTGCAGAGAGCATATAGAGGATAGACATTATGATATTGTTTAATTCAGATTATCAATGTGCACCAGAATATAATCACAAACACATAATGCTTGTATCTTTATATGATGAGATGGAATATATGGCTTTAATTGGGAATGTAAATAAGTAAAAAACTTATCTCGTATGTATTACAATGTGAGTATATAATAAAACTGCCTAACTATTTTATATACAATTGTGTTTGTGAGCTACATGCCTATGAAATAGTTATTATTATAATTATTTTATTATTTATATAGCGCCCTGCAAATTCCGTAGCACTGTATAATGGGATTAAAACTATTATTCCTGCACCATTAACAAAGAACACTCGATGTCATGTCTTTTATGTTGTTTTTATACTGTTTTTTTTGTGATCACATAGATCTGTAACCAATTTGAGTAATCCATGTCAGGATTTCAAGAATTTATTGTTAATTGGACTAACCATGTGATCCATTAAGAGACCAATTTAAAGGGTATATATACCCACTGTATGTTTGTATTCACTATGCATGATTAAAGCTATAGAGCCAAAACATCGCATTTTTATTTGAGGAACATTACCCTACAATAAAGAAAACCATCACAGACCTTGGAGTGTCGCCTGTGTTCCTTGTTGTTGCACTCGGACTTCTGCAGATTGCGGTGTCTGCTATTTTCACAGAGCACCTCCCGGATAGATGGCCGGATTGTTGAGTGGAACCTGAGTGTGGGGTGAATTGTTTCTAGTGGCTAAGATTATGTGAATAAAAATGGTAATCACATAGATACAATGGGGTAACAACATTGAAATGGAAAATAATAAAATGTACCATGTATCTTTAAGTACAATGGCTAATGACATGATAGTTTTTGATATATGCAGCAGTCATGTCAGTGATTGTTCATACTCCCTAAGGAAGTTAGTGCATACTCACGAAACACGTAGGAGAAAAATGTTCACCGCTCTAATAAAATTGTTATGGCTTGGCGTGCAGCTCAGAGCAATACGAGAGATATACTACCTTTGTTATACTGAGATCGCCACAGATTTCCAGCGGACTGTATCTGACTGTTTAAAAAACAATGCTAATATTGTAGCACTTAGTCCTGTGAGTACCCCAAATGGAGGAGCAGGGGGAGTGTGAATAGTTGTTTTAAATGTATTTATTTTTAAAAATATTATACACTATGGCAGCCTTTTTATTTTGCTCTGTTTAGGCATATCGACTAAATAGTTCTACTGAGTGTGTAAAGGACAATATCACTAACAAGCAGCATAAATCTCTTGGGGCTGACCACAAGACTTTTTCATCACTATTGAGATACAATTCTACTAATTTCTGTACTCTTTATATGAATGTGTACTTATTAAGTTATATTATTGTTTTTATTTATTAATATTTGAAAAATATTAGCTTTTTATTTTTTACTCAGAACTAGTAGCAGTTGATTCTTTTCTTAGCTGTCTGCAGCTACTCAGAATAAGGGTAATGAAAAATGATTTACTGGCCACAAAACAAAAGTCCTGCCATAGCCATCCCAGTCCAAGAATTTGGACCTAATAGAAAACCTGAAGAGGAGAGTCTTCCACCAGCATTGACCTTGAAATTTAAAGGGTCTGGATAGATTCTGTATGGAGGAATGGTCTCAGATCCCTAACCATGTATTCTTCAACCTCATCAGGCATTTTTAGAAGAAGACTCATAGCTGTTATCTTGGCAAAGGGAGGTAGCACAAAGTATGGACTGAAAGGGTGCCATATTTGTGCCACACATATATTGAATAAATATACAAAAAAACTAATGAGACACCTCTTAAACACCGCTAAAGCGCTCGTACCCGTGAAATGTGGTAAACCAGACGTACCAACGATCAAGGAATGAATGGAACTCGCATGGAAAGCAGCTGACATACGGGGAAACCCCAAAAGATGCGCTCTACTCTGGACTCCCTGGCATACTTATCCCATCCACTAACAACGAATGCCCACCCCGCCAACGACAGTAGACCCGCCTAAGATAATAATGCAATGGAACGGACTCACCCATTGGGGTGAATTATTGCCACAGACCCAAGACCGGAGCCCAACTAAAACATCACATAAGCAGGACAGCTCGCGACATGGGACCACATACTTTACATGGAGGGAAGTGGGGGAGTTGCAGCTGTGGCTCTTCCCGGAGTGGCGCAGACCCTCCTTTACTCCCCCCCCTTTTTTCCCCTTCTCTCATACCTCTGCCTCTCCCTCCCCCCCCATTACCTGCCCCTCTCCTTTCCTTTCACTCACCTACTATGTACACCCCCCCAAGAATCTCTATCAGATGGAGACATTGATTTGAAACAAAGCAAGTAGAACTTCTATACGACCTGAGTTGGTTAACTGTTGAAACGACTCACATGTACCTTACATAAACCATGCAATTGCATAGTCACTGAGGATCACCACAGCCCTAACTACATGTGATTACCGGTCAGCCATTACATGCTACCTATTATATAGTATCTGTATTACTGGTATGCCTACCTTGATGTGTTTTAATGAAAATATATAAATAAAGATTGTCAAAAAATAAATAAATAAAATAAATATCTATATCTATCTATATATATTATAAACCTGTGTTTTGTTTGCAATTGCTTGATATGCATGATAACAGAGTATAAAGACCATTTTCCACATCCTTCTTTGCTCATATTTACTCACAATGCTAATATTAGTAGAGGGCACTGTATGTATATTTTCTGTGTTATTTATTGTCATTTTATTATTATAAAAACTAGTAGTACATATTGTGAATAGATGTTATTTTGGCAAGATCAATTTTGTGGGAAAACCGAATTGTACCTTCATTATAGACATATTTTTTTCCCATTAGGTATTTGTTACTTCTAGTGAAACCCGGGTTTCTAGGTTACCATGAGCTGGTTATGCAGAGCTTTATGAGGTCAGCTGTTCTCATTATGACACCAAAGAATACTGAGATGTGGTAACCTATAAAATGTGGAGTTTGAGAACCTTGACATTTGATCCTAGTCAAAGAGAAAAGGAAAAAAAGAGAGAATACTTTATCAATCTCCTCTTGCTTATATTAATAGCATTTTGAAATCTAATGGTGGAAATATTGAAAAGTAGGGCTGTGCATGGGCAAAATATTCGGTTCAGTTCGGCACTTCCGAAATTTGGGACTTCGGCAATTCGTGACTTTGGCAATTCGGTAATTCAGCACTGCGGCAATTTGGTTCGGTTCGGCACTTCCGAAATCCAGCACTTCATCAATTCGGCAATTCGGTAATTCACCACTTTGGCAATTCGGTTCAGTTCGGCACTTCCGAAATTCGGCACTTGGGCAATTTGGTTTGGTTCGGCACTTCCGAAATCCAGCACTTCATCGATTCCGCAATTCGGTAATTCACCACTTTGGCAATTCGGTTCAGTTCGGCACTTCCGAAATTTGGCACTTGGGCAATTTGGACATTCGGAAGCATCCGAATATCCAAATTGACAAAACAAATTGCACATCTATTGAAAAGAGATGGAAGAAAGAGGTAAGTAATACTTTTAGTGACATTACATTGGCATTGAGGTTTTACTCACTACTTAGTAATAGTGATTAGAGAAGTCATGTGTAGTCACTAAAATCCATTGGTTCAATTTGGACCTACAGTATCTCACACTGTGACAACACTGAAGAAATTACACTCTGCTACAATGTAAAGTAGTAAGTGTACAGCCTAAGTACAGCCTAAATAAGTATTTTCCTTATGCGAGGATTATTGTAGGGGTATATGTATTACTCTCACAGTCTTTTCCTTATACAAGGATTATTGTAGGGGTATATGTATTACTCTCACAGTCAATTTTAAAGTCTAACACCTTCCCAATATACCTTTTCTGGTATTATGGCGTAAAGTATTGTTTAGGCAATATACCCCATCGTTTAATGAATGGATGATGTCACTATTATTATTATTTTATTTTAGGGTATATATACCCATCAAGAAAACAGCGGGTATCAGTCTTGAGAAAGTCCTTGATACAGGACGAAACACGTTGACTATCTGTCTATTTCAAGAGTTTTACTGCATCTTCAGCGTGGATTTATGACCCGGTAGCGACTCGCGGCAGTAGGAACTACCGGACCGAAGCAAACACTTGCACTCCATGGTGGGCAGTTTAGCGTGCTCCCCCAACCTGACTCGAAGTACAACGAACAGGGTAAGTTGCTCTGGCTTACCCCAGAGTTTCTTCAGACTTGTGGCCAGCTTCAGTGCAGCTCTCTTAGTTGTTATCTAGAGGTCTGGTTGGTTTCAGAGCTTCCTGCCCCTCGGACTCCTTCTGATCCTTGTTTGGATTTTGTGCGTATATTTTTTCTTATATTTGATTTTTCTTTACTCGTTTGATTGAGCTAACATCATCACAGATACTTTGATTCATATTGTGCACACGGACTAGTATCAGTGTAGGGGGCTCCACACTGCTCTGTAGACTCTTTGTCTGGTTATTTTGTGTCTATTTTGTGTCTACTTATCTGTGTCATATCGAGTGAAGT